GGAGGCTGGGGACACAGTGGCCCTGGAGAGCCGGATCCTCAGCCCAGAGGACTAACTGCTGGCTAAGGGTTTGTCTTGATTTATGGCCCATCTGAGAGCCAGGTCCCCACCCTGCCTGTGGGACAACCTGGCTCATTCTTTGCCACCACATTAGAGCAGCCACAAGTGCAAGTTAATCCCTCAGGGCTCACCAGGATGGAGGTGTAATTCAAGTGCTTTTCAGCTCCTTGCATAGTTTAGGCAAATCAGAGCCTCAAAGCAAAGTGCTTACCTCCCAGCAGCCTGCACCTTGCTACCTTCCTCCAATATCCAAATTCTTGCACCTCGTGTGTAAAGCAAAGATTTCAATACAGAAGGGATCAGCACACAGAATCCTTTTGGGGGTGACAAGCAGGCACTGACACTCTCAGCTCTAGGAGGGGGATGAGGTGTCCCTGCTGCATCCCCAAGCAGGGCACAGCTGGGTGCCTCAATACTTTCTCACCTTGGCTGCCTCCTTCCCTGCCTGGATCTTGTTCCATTTCCCCATTTGGCACCCACGTTTTCCCTCCACAGCAAAACCCAAAGCCATAGTTCAGCTGCGGTCACCCAGAGTGGGTCAGCTGAAAGCAAAGGAAGGGGTGCTGGCGCTTAGGGAGACCCAGCAGCAAAACAGCCCCCACAAAGCAGTGCTGCCTCTGGAAACCTAACGCTGTGCCCTGGGTTTACCTAAATGGTTTGTTTAATCGGGACACCGACAGCTCCCGTTTCCTAGAAATGTGCTACCTACGACTTTCTCAGAAGCGGTGGCCAGCCCAGCTGCCTGCCAGCTAGCCCGGGGCACCCACGGCCAGCAGCCCCCGGCGTTGGCACAGCCCAGCTCCTGCAGCACAACATGTTTACGAGGCAGCCGAGAAGCGGCGGAGGCTCCCAGCGCCCTCTCCCGGGAAGGCGGCCGGGCAGAACGGCCCGTGCCTCCCGCAGGGCTCCTGCCGCCTGTTTATCTCCTGCCTCCTCCTCCTCCCCACCGCCTGCTGGTCTTTTGAGGAAGCTCAGCCTTGTGACCCCTCCTCGCCGCAGCCAACGAGGCCGGCGGGGCGCCGGACAGGCGTGGTGCCGAGAGGTGACACCTCCCAGATTTGGCTTTAATTCAGCTTTCAAAGCCACGAACCCGCGGAACACAACGTGTTGATCCGGGGCTGGGTGACGCCGAGCTCTGCTGCCTTCGGAGCAGTAGTGCAAACTCGGCACAAACCTCTCCATCAGAAGCTGGGGGATTGCGATGCTCGAGTGCAGACCTGATGTGCTAAGCACGGGTAAAATTGCCTTTCACCTGCACTAAATCCAAATAAATGACTGTATAAGTCCACAGAATGGTTGTGTTAAAAGGGACTTCCAAGATAATCCAGACTCAGCCCTGCCCTGGGCTGGCTGCCCCCCAGCTCAGGCTGCCAGGTCCCATCCACGGCCTGGGGCACCCACAGCTCTGGGCAGCTCTACCAGCACTTCACCATTTCTTTTCTTAAAATATAAGCATCACACAAAGAGTAGGAATGGTCTATTGTGCTGTGATGGATTAGATCCTAGGAAGAGGCCCAGCCTCCGACACAGCTGGGAGGAAGGTGAGAAGAGCATCTCCCCCTGTGCCCACCAGCCAAGGCATTCCCATTTCAGCTGTATCACTTTCAAACCAGTCTGTGAAACCGCTGCTCACTGTGGTGCCACACAGGGCACAACTGAAATGCAGCCAAGGGAGGAGAACTTGGTGTCTGACTACGTGCCACCTCCACCAGCACAGCCAGGTGGGACCTGCTCACACGCGGCCACTACTGCATCACCCCCAGAGGGGCTCACAGGGCCAAAGCCCTTTACCCATGGGTTAGCAAACCCAAGGCCTTAGCGAGATGAGCTGCTGTTTAATTAATTAATTACCACTCTGCCCTCAAACGGTAGTCACCCAATGAGGACAGGGAGCTCAGCACGGCGCCAGGGGACTGACCTTGCGCGGGCAGCAGTGGCCAAGCGGTGTCCCCAGGAGCACAGTGGGAGGCTGCCCAGCTGATAAGCGAGCAAACATTGCAGGCTCCGCAGCATGCTGCCTTTGAAGGTGCTGCCAGGGTCAAGGGTGGCTGTGGGGTGGTGACCGGAGGGCTCGCAAAGGCAGAGCAAAGCCGGCGATGACCTGAGCTGCACAGAACGGCGGCGTAGAAAAGCAAATTAATAAAAAAGTGCAGAGGCACATATGAAAAAGAAAGTCCCTCCCCTTCCACATCCCCCACCAGCCCACCTCTTCGCTTTTGCACGGAGCGACACGCTCGGCATCGCGAGCCCGGCACCCACCTGGCTGCTCTGCAGCAAGCAGAGACACCGCTGTGAAGCACGTGCTCTTCCTTCAAGCGTGGCTGGGGGAAGCTGGATGATGAGAACCAGGCAGGCAGGGCGGGGGATTTGAGACCCAGAGATTGCTTGGCTCTGCTTGCTCTGTTCAAGGGTGGAGAATATCCCAGGGAGTGCTCAGCGCATGCCTTTCCCTTGCAGTTGGAAATTGGTCACAGTGTGCATTGGCAATTTTTTTTTTCCTTTGCTTGCTTTCTTCTTTTTCTTTTTATTTATTTATTTATTTATTTATTTTATTAGCACGGTTCATGCTGCTAAGCATGCTCCCTACTAGGTCAGGAACACATTAACCATGGCTGGCAGATTAATCTCAGCCTAATACACATTACAGCTTTATTAAGGAGGTGGAAATTCTCCTGAGTGCATTCAGTGGCAGGATCGAGGCCTGACACTGCACACTGTGCGAGTTGCTGCAATGCTGCCTGCATGCCTTCCTTACGGCTGGATCACATCCCCCAGCCCCAGCTGTGCTCCACTTGGACATAGCAGGATTACGGGTGATGCTACTGGAGAGGGAGCAAGGAAATGCAAAGCTTGCTACAGGGGCAGTGTGTCCATGGCAAATCCCAAGCAAAGAAACCCCAGACAGATGGCAGTAGGCTCAGAAATACTTCTAATTAACATCAGGAAACACCAGAGATGTCCTCGTTGAGCAAACAAGTCTTAAGCACCCAGGAGAGTGAGCGTGAAAATTGCATTAGAAAAAATAGGCTAATATATTCAAGGCTAAGGCTGAACTGCCGCACCCAAGACTTCGTATAATTAACTGTGGGATGCTACAAGCCCAGAAGGGTCCCACCATTGCTGATGTGGTCTTCGAAGTATCCTAAACTATTCATATCAGAACCTGAGGGTGCATGAGGAAAAAAAATCCAGTAGTATCCATGCATAGAATACTCATGTCAGGCTTGTGAAGCCTGGGCACCGCAGTGATGCGTGCCACCAAAAGCACAGCAGAGATGTGTGTGGTTGCCCCGCTGCTTCTGTAGGGTAGGTGGATCTGGGAGGCTGTGAGCCCACGTGGGTACTGCAGGCATCCAGGTCCTGGCGACCCTGCAGCCACACGGCCTTGGACTTTGGTGTTGCAGTGGGGCAAGAACCTGAGCCTTGAGCCCCAGGCACATCCCCTCTGCCAACACCGTGTGTGGGGCTGCCAGGGGGCAGAGGCGGCCTCAGGTCTGCTGAGGGTGGGCTGCTCTCAGGAGCAATACTGACGCAGTTGGTGTTGCAACCTTGCCCATATCTTTGAGCAAAGAGTGTGGCCACCCCAAATCCCTCTGTGAGCCCTCTCCTACCCTTTCAAATCTGGCAGGTCTGCTCAATCTCAGCCTATGTAATCTTTTGCAAGGCACCTTCACAAAGGATCTCACTGCAAACTTCGCCAGGCGGATGGGCAGCTGTGCACCAACCAGCTGTGCTGAGCGGAGCTCCTTCCTGCCGAAACACCGCCTCACCTCGGGCAAAGGCTTTATGGAAACGATCCCGTGCTTTTCCATGGTAACCGTGCCGATCTGTTCCAGCTCGCAGCCTTGATCCTCTCCCGGCAGGGCTGGCTCGGCCCTGCTGAGGTCAGCCCGGAGCCGTGCTGACACGAGCAGAGCTCTGAGGATCTCACTGCACGCTTGTTTGCAGACCAACTGGCACCTGGAATGAGCAAAGTTGCTCACAGCTCAGCCTTCCCTGCATCATTTGGGCGGGCTGACTTCAGGGCTGCTGTCCCCCCAGCCCTGGTGTGCTCCCCGACCAGAGGAAGGGGATGGTGGCTGCCCACGGGGCTGTGCTCAACCCTATCCCAAAGCCAGCATCCCTCCCAGTGCACACGTTTGTGGAGGGACAGCTCTGGCAATCTGCAAATAAACGCTCAGGGTGACAGAGTGTGTCGATGCCCCCACACCATTAACCTTTTCAACACATCACTGCCTAGCCGTAAAACCAGCGGTGCCTCCCTACTCATCATGCAGGGGACAGGAGCAGCAAGGAGCCATCCCTGTGCTGGGGACAGCGTCGCATTGCTGGTTTGACAGCGCCATCTGGTGAGGTGACGTCGCTGCTGGGGACCGGCTCCAGAGAGATGGCTCGACCCGCTTCTCTTTCCCGAGGGCACCAGGATTCCACGGCTGGTCCCCACCAAAAGAAGCTCAGACCTGCTGCAGGCAACTTGGGCTGGGGCACCGGTGGCCCCAACGCAGCTAAAACCAGCCTTTCTCTGCTCTCCTGCTCAGTTAACGTGATGCTGGAGCTGTCAGGGTCTCCCCACCACCACCTGCTACTTCCAACCCAGGCTGCATTTCATTTGGCATTTCTTTCCTCCTCTTTCCAGGAGGTCTCCAATGGTGGGAATCAGTCCCAACTGGGAGCCAAGGGTTGCTCTGTTGAGGGAAACCATAGCGGAGTCTCCCATGAGACATCAAAAGCCCTGACAACATGGCACCAAGGTACTAACAAAAGCCTGGTTTGAAGGCAAGAAGCTGCCCCTAGTGGGGAGATGGGAAGGTCTTCATTTCAGGAAAGCATGGAGAGCACAGCAGTCCCCAAGAGCCCTCCATGTCCGTGCAGATCAGGGCTGGGACAAGTGTGTCACAAGCAGCACGGTGATCTAGAACACATCCTCAGGACACAGCAACATGATGGCCACCAGTGAGTGAACTTTGGCTGGAGCAAAGCACACTCTGAAGAGGAAAAGCAGCATTAGGCTTTATAAACCTGGTCCTTCCTGTGACACAGCATGCCTTTGTGCTGGTGGGCATTTCCAAGGGCATCCAACATCAGCAGGTGCTGCCAGTCCACTCCAGGTCTTTCAGAACCAAGCACAAATTCAAGGGACAGATTTTGGATTTTACTCCAACACCGACACACTGCCTTCAGGTCCTGGGTGGTTGGAGTGGATGTCTGCAGTCACTGCTGCTCTACCCAAAGACACAACCTGCCTGATGATGCCTGATAATTCAAAGGAAATGCTGCAGCATTTGTACTCAACCTCCACAAACCCTCGATATTTAGAAAGTGGCCATTCAAACTTCCCAAGTCCTATGTGCAACTGAACCACATGCTTTCCAAACACCCTGTGTCAGCAGCCCACAGCACATAGGTGCAGTAGGACCTCAGTGCACCAAACCCCAACTAAGATCACGTTTTTCTTAGCTCTGTTCTGTCCTGACTGCTCCCACTTCTCTTTCACTTTACAATCCCTCTTTCAACAACACAAAGCCCAGGTAACTTTCTCTTCTCCCCTGCAGCAATCATAGACTCCACGGACATAGAGCTGCTGCTGAGAGATGAAGTTTTTGTTGACTTCTTCAACACGTTTCTGAGCCTTCCTGTAAGTCTGCTCCTCACCACAAAGCCCAGGATCTTTTGGGTTCCACATCAGAAAAAAACTTGGGACTATATTGTACTTGGGCTGTCAGGGCAGGGAAAGCTGAGGACCTCGGCATGGAGGAGGTAGTGAGGTCTGACAGAAGATGGTGCCTTCTCTGTAGTGGGAACTAACTAGGACAGCCAGGCTCTGGGCTCCCCCACCACCTTCCATCACATCAAGATCTCCCCATTCCTTTCACTGCAGGTTTTTGGCCAGACACCCATTTATAGGAGCAGCACGGGGCAATGGGACCTCTGGCCAGAGCTACCGAGCCACCTGGTGAGAAAACATCCCTTGTGAGAACAAAGAAAGGGGAGGAAGGGCACTGGGCAGGGACGGAGTCGGTTCCTCATTTCTGAGGCTGCTCTCTCCTCCATGTTCATGCAGCCAGGGGTGTGATTTCAAACCCAGGTTTCATTTTGCCTTTAAGTCATGGGTGGAGCAGAAACCACGGGAAATTGGGGCTCTGGGAAAGGAGGCAAGTGGGGAGGAGAGATAGTAGGAACACAGGCAGCACGAGCATCCCCCCTTCTTCCTGCACATGGGGATGGCTCACGCCATTCTCCAGCAACCCCCCTAGCATGGGCCCATTACTCACCCTAATCCCCGTGCAAGAGCCAGCTCCTCGCTCACTGCCTCATCCTCTGCTTGGGTGTGGGGTGCAATGCAGGATCCCAGTCCCTCAGCTCTGTTGGCCTGGCTGGGAAAACACCGGCTGCCTCACTTCTGCAAATCCAGCCTGTGCCTCCTCCTCGTCCTCTGCCAGAAGCTCCTGGGTTTCATTCGCTCGGAGGAAGCAGGTGAGTCATTGCTGCACTAGCAGGGCTTCCTCTTGCCTGGTGCCTGCTGAGCATAGCACTGGGTTAAAAAGGCACTGCACACTCTGGTTTTGGGCTCTTGCTCTGCACTGTGCACCCTATGCTGGGAAACTCATAAAAATCATAAAATCGTCCAGGCTGAAAAATACTTTGAAGGCAATCAAGTCCAACCATCAACCTGACCTAAGGAGCCCCATCATTAAGCCGTGCCCCTTAGTGCCATTAATATGCCCTGCAAACGCACAAAACACACCCTTACCTTACACCCTGGTCTGTCTCAAGGGCAGCAAATCTGGACTGTGCAGATTGCCCCCATACAACCCCCTTCATTCCAGCCTGTTGTTTTGCCCATCTGCGAATCAGCGCAAGGGTTGGCTGCTGGAAAGAAAGTTCTAGCAGCTGGGATGCAGGTCTTTATTTTGGAAAAATAAGGCATTTATCAAGGCTTGTGCCCCGATGCCGTGCCTTGCTCTCTCTCCAACAGCAAGATTGCTGAACTGGCAGAGCGCGGACCAGTGGCTGCTGGAGAAATGCATCAGTGGGAGCCAGGGCATGTGGCGCTTCCGAGCCTTCACCCAAGGAATGGCAGGTGGGCATGGTGTGCTCCGCAGCCCCTCCACATCTTCACAGCTTTTTCTTTTAATCACAGGCTGCTTTGCTCCCCAGCAAGGCTTTTAATACCACCTCCATCACATTGTTCTCTTGTCTGATTCAAAGGGGAGGAACTGACAGACTTCTGGCTTATCACTGAGAGGCTGCTGGGGCTTGATGAGTCAGATGCAATGCAGAAGGACCTCTATCTGTCTTTGATCCAAAGGCTGAAGGTCACCCACCTGCGTGAAGGCTCCAGCATCCTTACCCTCTGTGGCACCACTGCCCGTAAGTGGGATGGGAGCTGCTGGCCTGTTCCTGGCTGCTCCCAGGAACAGATGGGATGCCAGCAGTGCCTTTGCTTGGCTGGGGATCCCCCGTGGCAGCAGCAGGTCTGCTTGGAGCCATCTTCACATCATCACTCCCTGCATCCATTTCAGGCTCATCGCAGACAGTCACAAACGTTGGGTCTGTAGGCACCCGGAGGGAGATCCTGAGCAAAATGCAGCAGCAGGCCCTGTTTATCCTTCAGAGTTACTGGCTCCCTAAATTCTTCATTCAGTGCAAGATGAGCATGGAGGAGGAAAAATCCTGCTGGCCTCTGCTGCAGGAATATCAGGAGCGGTTGGCACAGGGTCACTTGCAGGAGTCCTCGGGCATTTCAGATGGCCTTTCCCCAATGAGAATTAGTAGGAGCCAGGATTCACCAGAGCCCTACTGCAGCAGGGAGGCCAAAGAAAAGATCTGGGCTCTTATCAAGGAGGGAAGAGACAGCCAAGAAATGAAGATGCAACCAGAAAGGCAGACAGAGCCAGCTGGGAGCACAAAGAGATTGCAACAGTGTAAAGGTGGTTCGGGACGGATTCGTCCGCAGCCAGAGCGCACTGCAAATACTGCCATTGGAAATCGAGGAGGAGCAAAAAGACCTAGGCCCAGAGAAAAACAGGTCCTCCACCTGGAAAACCTATGTGAAGAGAAGGTCCTCTCCAGCCTACGTTCCTCTACACCCCTGGCCAAGATGCCATCCCCCACAAGGCCAGCCAAGACCTTACGTTACCTCCCCTGGGCTCTCAGTGCTGACAGCTATGCAGGACGGCCCTTCAGGACCTTCTTGATCTGCCAGGACCACACTGCTGAGGCTCGTCTCCTGGACCTATGGCACGACCTGGAGGAATTCCTACCAGTGGTGCTGGACCACAGCAGAGAAAATAACTTCTTCCTGCGCCGTTTCCTCACGAAGAGGATCTGCGAGTCCTATCTGGTGGAGAACACCATACAGCAGCTTCCCGTGGAGACGAGGATCCTTCAGGGCCTGCGGGACCATCTGGCTTCTGCAGAATTCACCCCCTGGATATTCAGGACTCAAAAAGAGATTTGTAAGGTAGAGATTGGCAGTGGTCAGACTGTGGGGTACAGCTGTGCCTACACACCCCAGCCTGGTGCAAGGGTAGGTTTAATAGAGATATTTAGAAGATGAACAGAGAACAGGGAGGGCAAAACTTATGGTCACAAGTCAGCTTGGACTGGAATCAGTGACCTAGATGCAGCAGACTGGCAGAGAGAAGCATCCCCATGGGTCTGCTGGGCTGAGGAGCAGAGATGAGCAGCCACCGAGCAGCTGGTGGCCACAGCTGTCAGATGGTGCTCAAAGGATGGCAGCCATCCTTTCACATCTGAGTCACTGCTTCCAGCACAACATGACTGAAGCACACTGTGTACAGCCCACAGCAAAGCTGCCCTTGGATGTCTCAACACTGTCATTGCGACCTTGGGGTACAGCAAGGGTGCTGGCTGCTGGTGGGACACATGAGAACAGCTGAGAACACCCTACCTTGTCTCCTCTTCAGGTCCTCTGCACCTACTATGAGAAATTTCTGGCTCATGATGATGAGACGTTCCTCCAGTTCATGGTAAAGGGGATGCACAGGGCTGTGGGCATCTTCAAGGGGTTTGCAGGTAGCAGTGTAGATGGGAGAAGCAGGGGGATAGGGAGGGAGGGAAGCTCAGCACTAGCTGCAGTGATCCAGCATCCCACAGGTCAGCCCCTGGGCCATTACCCATCCCAGAAATGGAGAGATCTAAATGCAGGGGAGGTGCATGCAAAGCCAGCAGCAGGCAGCATGCTGAGCAAACCACTTCTGGGAATTAATTCTCCCCCTTTTTCCCTGCCTGGACCAAATAGTGCTTTTAATCTGACTCATGGGCAGCTACACATGCATACATCCTTGTCCCAGCACAAACTTACGGCTAGCATGCTGGGGGAGGAGGATGTACAGCATTTTGGCCTCTGATTCAACTGCACTCAAGTTTTCCAAGTGTTTTTCTTTTTTTTCCTTTTTCCCCACTGTGTAAAGCAGTGATTTAAGTAAGAGTTACAAAAGCAAACCATCCTTCCGGCAGCAGATATCCCACTAATGCATCATACTTCTCAGTGCCCTGAATGCTATCCTAACTCCAGGAAGCCTCCTCGCAAACAGAAACCTCAGAACATCCTGAGTGTTTGGGTCCCTTGCACAACCCACACAGGAATTTTTGCTCACCGCAGCTCATGTCTTCAGGCTGACCATTAGGATTTTCTTGGAATAGCAATGTAAAAAATCAGCAGCTGGTCCCAGAAATGGTTAGGAGAGGCTGGCAAGGGCAGTGCCCCAAAGCCCTAGCATTGCAGCCTGTGAGAGCCGAGCTCTTATGGAGCAGTCAGTTGGCAGCTGTCAGCTCCTGGCTCTGCTCATTAAATGCTTTTGGTTGTAAGTTAATTAGCTGCCCATGTTTCTAAGCATCCCTTGTCAAGGAAATTACCACTCAGAGCAAATGCTTGGTCTGGGAGTGCAATTAGCACTTGGGCAGGTGTCGGGGCCATGCTCTCCGCAGGCACCATCCCCTAAGCCAAACTCATTGGGGGCTCTCTCTGCACCAATGTCAGAGGAGCTGCTTGGAGCTTAGCAGGGCTATTTTTGGTGCTTGCTCTCAGCAGCATGCAGCTCAGTTTGCAGACAGCCTCTCTGTCCCTGCTCGCTGGTGTTGAACAGCCAAAACCTGCATGAGGGTCTCCGTGGGGACAGTGGGTGGCACTCCTGGGACATTAGCCAGAGCTGCACCAGGGACAGCAGAAAAGAAAACGTGAGCTCACCTGTCTGTCCATGACACCTTCGTGGCTGTTTTCAGTCCTCCTGGATGGATGGTGACCTCTTCAGGAAAGCACCTGCCCTTGGCTGATGAGCCACTGTTTGGATGCAGCTGCAGGCAGACGTGAGCCAGCTTTAGGAAAAGTATGGACAGGTCCAAGTCTTATGCTGAGCTCTGTGCTCAGGTTTCTTCCAGAGGTTTAATTTGGATAGGTTTGTAAGCGCAAAAATGTGCAGCTAGCTTGCTGGCTGCACTGCAGGAGCAGTTCCTCGAGTGGGGTGTAATAGGATGCTCTGTGCCATCACCCTCTGCTCTTCTTGTCAGTCTTCACAGAGTGATGTCCCAGTGCCCAAGGTACAAGGACATGGTCTTGGGAAAGACAAGTATTTCCTCGTGTCTGAGCGGATAAATGAGTCCTTGAAGCTGAGCCAGGCCTTGTACGACACAAGGAACTTGGAAGGCCTCTCTCCTGAGCACTGGCAATCCTTTGGCACTCAAGACCTCCAGAAAAGGGGTGTGCTCCAGGCAGAGGTGGAGCCTCTTGTGAGCAAAACTGGTAAGAGAAGGCTCTGAATTTCTGCTGGTATTCAGGTTGGCTCATGCTGATGCAGCATATTTTGTGTGTCTGTAGTGACCAAGCCACCAACATGCAGGTTTTGGCTTAGCAGTATCTTGTTTTATTGCTGACAGTGTCACTGGGTGGGTTGAGACAAGATATATGCAAGCCACAAGCCATAATCCAAGTTTTAGCAGTGAGCTTTAGATCAAATTTGCCCTTCTCAGTACTGGAGGCACCAAATTGCTTGTCCCTGCACTGGCTTGGGTCACTAGGCTGTAGCAAAGAGATTGAAATGCAAAGGCAGGGATGGTCATTGTCATCCCACTGCCACACCTTGACCACTTGGGGATCTTAAGGTCTTGAAAATGTAGCATCGTGGGTGGATCACAGGAAGAGAATAGAGAAGGGGAAAGGAAAGGCAAAGAGTGAGAAGATAGTACTCAGTAAGTTCTGGAGGACAGTCAGAGCCTGCAGGAGATGGATCTGTTCTTTCTTCTCTATCAGATGCAGACTACCAGAAAATGACATCAAAAGAGTTGGCTGTTCAGAAAGAATCGCTGTCTGTGGATAGCTGCAGCAAGGATAAGGAGGTTTTGTCTCCCAAAAGCCCACCACTTGGTGAGTCCAACCAGAGCAGACTAGAAGCAGGGCAGGCTCCCAGCCAGCATTCCTCAGGACAAGCAGGAGGAAGCATCATCAGGGAAACATCTCCAGAAGGAGATATAGGTGCAACCACCCATGGAAGGCACGTGTTTACGGGTGTTAATCCAGCCAGGATTGGGAATGGGTGGGAGCTGGAGGTTTCCTCTGAAGCAGATGCTGAGGAGTTGAAGCCATGCAGAGGTGAAGGGCTTCTACAGTACCCAATGTCCCCTGAGCTAGGCTCATCCTGTTGAAGTCAGCAGGGCAGTTCTGGAGGCAGCTCAGGCTTCTTTGGGGTCCTCTGACCTGAGAACAGCTGTGACAGGCTATAATTGTCACTCAAGAAAGCGGCCAGCTCCATTCTGTCCCCACAGCTGCTGAGCCCGAGAAGGAAAAGAAGAGGGCTGCTCCTAGGAGAAAAACCAAATCAAGTGCCAAGAAGGACACCACTGTTGCAGTAGAGAAGCCAACGAGAAGACCCAGGTCTGGCACCTTGCAGTACAAAGATTTGCTGTCTTTAGCTACTTTCAGGAAACAGAATTTTCCCACTGATTCCCTTCAGTGACAACTCCTTGCTTTGTCACGGAGATGCCATGTGAATGTCCACGTGGACTCCCCCCTCCTGGGGATACTCCAAACAAGACTCCTGACAGCCCCACATCAGGATATAAATTGCAAATCCCTGCCTGCTCTCAGCTCTGGTTGTCTCCTGGTGTCTCCTCCCTGCAGGCACTTTGTGAAGGTTCTGCACAGCCCTGCCCACCTGCAGTACTTCAAGCAGTTCCTCGAGGAGCGCAGTGCAGCTGAACCACTGCGCTTCTGGATGGCCGTGGAGAAGTTAGCTGCAGAGACCAACATCAGGACAAAGAACCTCCTCATTAACAGCATTGTCAAAAATTATTTCCATGGTGAAAAACCAGCTGGTAGGCACTCTCCAGCCCTGTACTTTACACAGGCTGTGACAAAGGCTTCTTTTCCTTGATGTGGGTGAAGATTTTAGATCCTCTTGCAGGGACCTGCCAGTTCTCCTTTCCTTGCCCAGTGTTTGCTGAGGTCTTCCACTGCCACTTGAATTTCTAGGAAGGTGGTCTACTTCTTTGGTAGGACTTCTTCACCAAGACCTCTGATGTTCTTGGAATCAGAGTTTCACTCCCAAAGCATGCAATTAGCACAGTAGAGAAAGGAAAAGAGGTGAGACTATCAAATTCAGTGAACAGCTGATGGTGTAGGCAGGTGGAGGTGGGACAGGATGCCACTTGCTGATGTGAGGGTAGGAAGAGCTGTTATAGGGGCTGAGGTGGCTGCTCATGGCAGGCAGCAACTGCATGTCTCTTCCAGAGGAACAGCTGGAGTGCAGCTCTTCTATCATCAAGGAAATAAGCGAGGCTGAAACAGTCACTCCCTTCATGTTGATGACAGCACAGATCTTCGTTCAGAAAGCAATGGAAAAACAATGGTGAGGACTTGGCTTAGATGGGATCCTAGGTTCAAAGACAAACATCCTTTCCTTGGTGACAGACAACAACTGCTACAAATGTATTACTCTGTGAACCATCTATCAATGCATCAATATCCCAGCTAGACCCTCACCCCAGCCCTGTATCTGCTGATGTCTTTAACCATGCAAGGGGAGAGTTCCAGTTCCCATCCCTTTCTCCATCCTCCTCCAGAAATAGGAGTCCTATGAGACCCCAACCACAGGGCTACCCCTCCCTCTTAGCTGCTCTCCATCCTACCCACCCAACCCCTGCTCACACATCTGGCTGTCCCTGATACTCTCTGATCTCCCATCTGGCAGGTTTAAAGAATACCAGGACCTCTTTCCCCCCAGTGAAACACACAAGTCCAATCTTCGTTTGCGGCACAGGATGGGGAACTTCAAGACAGACAACCTGGTAAGGAAAGACCTTCTGCTGGCCTGCTGTGGGTGTTGTGTAGGAAAGAGGAGAAGCTGTGTGTTAAGCAGTGCTCAGAGAAATGGGGTGAGGGAGGTTAGAACTGGAGGACTGCAAAAAGCAGAGTTTAAGTTTTGTTCTCACAGGATCTGGAGTCCAGATCTAGATAGTGGCAAGTGGCCAAGCAATTCACACTATCACCTGTGGCCTCCAGGGGAATGCAGAAACACCAGAAATGATGGCTGGGTCATTCCCAGCTCTGGCTCGCCATATCTGTACCACCAACTGATGTGCACTGTCCTGTCTCTGCAGCGGTGGGCATGGTTTGCCATTCAGAACATTGTCAGGAGCATCTGCAAGTTCCATCGGGAGATGAGCAACAACAAGTGCCGTGTGGAGTTTGAGGACTTTCTCTGGAAGGAACTAGAAAATGAGGAGGAAAGTATGGCTAGACTCCTGAACACCTCTCTTACCTGCCCAAGGCAATCCTAGGTTTAGGAGAGGTAAATGGAGGAAACTTGTGAGGCTCCTCTCCCATCCTTATATGTTCAGTAGTCTCTGCTGGAGGTGCAGTTCTTCCTTCCTGCTGGCAAAGCAGGTGTTTTAGGATGCCAAATATTGCCTGAGTAATCTGCACCAAGTGAGCAGAGGGTTGAAAGGAGGGCAGAGATGAGGCACAAAATGGGCTTGTGTCTTCTAGCCAAGAAGTTCTGGAGGTGAACAGTCAGGCTGGCCTTGGCCACTAATCCCAGTGCTTCCAGACCCTGCACACTGGCACAGAGAAGCCACAGGGATATCAGCACATCGGTGAAGGGGTTGGGAGATGAGGTGCAGAGGCAACATGGACATATATATACACATTCACACAGTATCTGGTTTTCTGACACCAGTGTCCCTCCTTTTTCTGCTAAGTGCATGCAGTGATACTGGTGCATGTCTCTCAAGCAACATAAATGCAACAATTTGCACACCTTCCACAAAAAAAGAAACACAACAGGAGGCAATAGATGAAGCTAAGGTGAGACAAGGCAAAAATAAATAGAATGAGATAACAGGGAGCCTACCTACAAAGTGCTGGGCCAGAGGATGCAGAGCGGATTTGGTTCAAAAGGACACTGGAAAAGCTGGTAGAGAAGAAATCCATTGGAATTGGTGGATGTGCAGCAAGCCTACCTAGAGAAAGACCTGGAAACAAAAATATTTGGAATTTGGGGAATGTTTTATATGGAAATAGTAACATATTTTACACTTCTTTCTCCTTAATTATCCACTTATGGCCTCTGTCAGAGATGGTGATGGCTAAGCAGACAGGCAGACTTTTGATCTAACATACTGTGGCCAGCTTCTAAGCAAACAAGGAACACGAGCACTCTATAGGTGCAAAGAGGAGGATGGATAGAGGTTACTGAGCTAAGGAAATGGCACACACTGGATGGATCTGAACATCTGAACTCCCTGGGGGCTGTAGTCTACCAAGGTACCCATCCCTGCCCCATCGCTGGGGGTGCTCAAGACCAGGTTGGATGGAGCCCTGGGCAACATGGTCCAGTATTAGATCAGGGGGTTGGTGGCCCTACCAGTGGCACGGGGTTGGAACTTCATGATGTTTTGAATCCCTTCCAATCCAAGCCATTCTATGATTCTAAGGTAGAAAAATCCCAACAAATCACATGTAAGCAGGAAAGGGAAGCACAAGGGAGGTGAAAGAGTGGGGTATAGCTCAGCATCAGATGCTCAGCTGCCCCCAAACCAATGCTATAAGAAGCAGGATACCACATCTCTTACTCTCTCACAGACCTGCCCATCTCCTCGATGCAGAGCAACAACACCTTGCGTTCCCATGCATCCTCTGCCAGATCCCCAAGAGACAAGGACGTGGTGCTGGTGAAACGACAGATGTTTAACAACCAGCTCATCACTGTCAACTTCCTCGTTTATGACCTCCACTTTTACCTGGAGATCAACAAGTAAGCTCCACCAGTGCTCAGGTTCCTCCAAGTCTCCTTTTCTCAGGCCCAAATCCATTCTGGGAGCAGTCTGCACCCCTTGGTAAGGGATAAAGCATGGTACATGGGTTGCTTTGCACATACTGAGGGCTTTGCTGCCATCCTAAAACTCCCCTCAGCAAGGCTGCTGGACACCACAGTGCAGTGTGAAACTCAACCGAAGTCTCATTCTACAGCTGCCTGCATCTAATCTGCTTGTGGCTACTTGCCCCTGGAGAGCCCCCAGACCTTTGTTTTGATAAATACTGAGCTAAACAAGACCACTGCCCAGAGAAGTAGAGGTGCCCCATCCCTGCAGGCAACCAAGGTCTGGGGCTCTGAGCACCTGATGGAGCTGTAAAGGACTCTGTTCACTGCAGGGCAGTTGGATCAGATGGCCTTTAAGGATCCTTTCCAGCTCAAGCAGCTCTGGGATTCTGTGATTCCATGCCTGCCTAGCCTACAAATCAGGGCACTTGTCTCAGAGTACCACCTAAACACATGTTTTTGCAGGTTTTCCAAGCTGGCTGATTCAGCTGAGGCATTGGCAGCCCTCAACGTGTGCACCAAAAATGAAGTTGACTTTCTCAAAAAGAAAGCTGCCATCATCAGCAAGCTCTTCCTGAGCTCTGATATTCCTCCCAAACTGCGGGTGAGATGATGGGTCCCACCCGGGAAGCCTGTAGGCTGTTCATTGCTCAAGACCATGGCAGCTGTGAGCAGATATAGGGAGAAAGAGTCCAGACAGAGGGGTGGATCTGCTCCATGAATGCTCTGAAGCTTCAGAATGCACTCTGGAGCTTGGGAACCATCCCTGGGCTCCATGGGAACTGATCTATCACCAGGCCCACGCTAGCACTTGATCTGTAGCCACTAAGAACAAGCATATAGGCATGGAGATGGTGAAATCCCCTATCTGCAGGAAGGATGACAGAGCTAAAGCACCAGGATATGTGCTGCAATCTGCCAAATCAGTCCTTTCAGTCTCCAGAAGTCAATGTCATTATCGTGCCCTCCCCACACACCTACCTCTTCCCCTACAGTAGCAATGGTTCTGTTTATCTCCTGTTTGGAAAGCATTTTTCCACAGAAATCCAGGAGGAATCCAGTCTTTATGTCCAGGACAGTCAGCCAGGACAGAAATATTGTAACTTCATAGGCACAGCTTGAAATGCACAGTGGGGCTAGGGAGAGAGACATGTCTCTAGGGCTCACCAGGCTGCTACAAACTGCTTTGGTTAAACAAGCTCCTTTCTGTGCTCAGGTGAACATCTCTGAAGATGAGAGAGATTTAATTTGGAGTTTGTCTTCCAAGGGGCTACTGAACCGGCTCCTCTACCATAGAGCCAAGGTGGCCATTTTCCCCATCCTGATACACTTCTGGAAGAGGTACAAAGCCCTTCTCTCTGGGTGGCCGAGGCTGCACAGATGCCAGCCTCTGCTTCCAGCCTCTGGCACGATGTAAATGAAGACATGACACTGCCCAGGATCTCAGCTGCAGATGTCTGCTCGGAGGTTTGTTGTCATTAGCGTTCCTCATGCAGGTTCTGCAACTGGAAGGTGATGAAGAGCTTCCGAGTCTACTCAAGGGAAAGGGAACCAACCTCGTTGACCAGTAAAAAAGCCCGTTCTGAATCATCTGAGATCTACAGCCCAAGTAAGATGAGTGCCTGTTCCCCACTCCTCATTTACACTCTCATTCTTCCAGCACAGAAGCCTCCAGTCCTGGGTTTTTGGTATCCCACGGTGTTTATGGACCCCCCCAAATCCCCAGATCTTCAGTGATGACTCCCCCTAGAAGAGCCAAACCCCTCCCATGCAGTGCACATGGCACATCCCACTAATACACACAGCTTCAGCTACATGGGGCTGGAAAATGCAATGTCTTTAAAGCCCTTCCTTCCTCTCAAGTTCAGCCAAATTTACCCAGAGAGGTTTTAAGAAATTTCTTTAGGGAACAGTGGAGTGGGTGCAGAGAGTTCATGAGGACAGAGCTGTTGCATAAGCCCTGTTTGCTTAAAAAAAACAAAACAAAACAAAACAAAAAAAATACATCCCCTATAAGAGCTGTTAAACCAGGTTACAAGTCAGCTGGGAGTAGAAGGAGAAGAGACTGCCCAGAAACATGCAGGCAAGCAGCAGGCTTATTGGCTCTGTACAGAAGATGCTTTGAGAATGTTTGGAATGGAGAAAAGGTTTCATGAGGGTCTGAGGGAGCACTCACCAGGACATCTCAAGCTCAGAGAGGGCAGATTTAAGTTAGATACAAGGAAAAGACTTTTGCTGTGAGGGTGGTGAAGCACTGGAAGAGGTTACCTGGTGATGTTGTTGGTGCCCCATCCCTGGAGTCTGTCAAGGTGAGGCTGGATCAAGCCCTGGGCAACCTGATGGAGCTGTGATGTCCCTGTTCATTGCAGGGGAATTGGACAGCATGGCTTTTAAAGGTCCCTTCCAACTTTAAGGATTCTATGATCTCTAGGGAAAAGATCTTTTTTTCCCCCTCATCTCTTACTTTGTTCCAATATACTAAACAATGCTAAACTGTGGGGGGGGAAAAAAAAAAAAAGAGAAACCCACAAAGAAAGTTTTGCTATGTGCTGTCACTCTACCTGACAACCCAGCTCCTGAATATTCATTTAGAAATTGCCTAATTGATTTTTTTATTAAAGGGGAAACCAAAATAGGCACGTCCTAATCTTGCTTTGACGGCCGGGTGGGTGTCTTGCAGCACAGCGTTCTGCTGCCTTTAATTCATCACTGTCAGGCTGTGAGGCTCAGCTCGGCACAGCTGGGAGATGCGGGGATGGTAGGGGGGGAAAAACAGGCAGGAGTCAGAGCTGCGGGCTCAGCAGCCGGGCTGTGGTTGCGGCCATCTCGCAGGCTGTCACCAGGCGTCACTGTGGCACTGCCGAGCCTCGCTCCGCGGAGCTCGGCGCCGTGATGCTCCCGGGGGCTCGTGTCCGCAGCTCTCCCAATGCCACCTCCTTGCGAGGTAGAGCAGGGCATGCCACCTCCTCCCTGCAAACGAGGAGGTGCGCAGAACTCATATCTTTGTGCAAGCCCAATGTCACCGCTTCCCTTCCATCTCCCGTGCTCTCAAGGAGCCGAAGGGGACAACACGTCTTGCTGTTCCCTCCCCACTTACTGCTCCTTCTTTTCTCCCACATCAGGCAATCAAGCCGTCATTCTGTTCTCGCTCCTGCGTGGTATCCAGGTCCTGCTGCCCCGGTCTCATAAGAAGAAGGAGTTAGAGGAAAAGCACGAGGGTGAGCAAAAGGCTGCCAGGATGGGAGTGTAGATTTAGGGCTCCCTGACACACTACGATGGGATCTGTGTTTTCCACAGGGTCGGAAAGTGCTGAGGTGTCATCCAGCAGCTCCACTTCTGAGCCTTCAGAGCAGGTAGGTGGTTGCAAGGCAGCCACGTCCTCAGGCTCCACCACCAGCACAGGCAGCTGGAGCAGGGGGACAGCCAGCTGGGAGGGCTGTCTCCTCCAGCTGTGGGGGTGCTGGGTAGCTGTGCAGGATGCTGCTTGCCCCACAGCCTCCAGAACAGTGTCACAGAGACACAAGACATCTCCTTTTGCTGCTCTTCCTGACTTTATACCACAGGTACTGGCCTATCCATGTCATTGAAGTGACTGATGCTACTTCTGGGTGGGCTGTTTCAGACCCCAGCTCTCTGCAGTCTTTCCCAGTAACACACTCAGAAGATCTGCAGTGGCTGCACTTCTCCCTGCTCTAAACACATCCCATTTGTACTTTTCACCCATGCATCCACCATCAGCCACTGATGCAGTTCTTCTCCCCTCCCCACAGGATGAGGAGGAGGAGGAAGAAGAAGAAACAGAAGAAGAGATATCCTAGCACAACAGCCATGGGGACATGCTCCAAGGAAGCTGAGCAGCCAGGATATGCTGCATTGGCTGTGCCTAATTTGCAACAAGGCTGAAAAATAAAGCAACTCACAGCATCCTCCAGCCTTGTGCTAACGTAGCACCTTGCAGGGACATGCCACTCAGGTGTATCTACCTAAGGAGATACCCATTCTCCAATCAGTCAGCTCATGCTGAATTTGGGTCTTTTTTTTTTTCTTCTTTTCTTTTTAAATACCCAGTGCATCTAAATTTCCAAAGCACTAACCAAATCCTACCAAATGCCTTCATTTTCCTTTTTGAAAGGCGAGGAAGTATGACTGTGCTGAGCCACCAGGAAGCTGCAGAAATCCAGTGTACTTTAGACATCACCTCATGAAGCAAAGAGCAGAACCTTTAGCACACATTGCTCACAGCTCCCTCCCGTGCAAACTCCATTGTGTACCTTTACAGCTATTTTCAGCTACATTTTAACCCTCAAATCCTAAAACCCGCAGCCTGGCAACAGCACAGGTGTATTTAAGGCAGGAGATGACGTTTCCTGTTTGTCCATTAGGATTAACAACACTTGGCAGGATCAAACAAACCCAAAGTCCAATGTTCTCGTAAATGAGAGACTTCTCAGGAGCTGCAGCAGCTTCTTACAGCCAGCTGCATGTCCAACCAGTTCCTCAACACTGCCCTTGTGCTGCAATCTGGGTTTACCCCAGGTTTCCAGCCCCAAAAGCTATCTGCACTGCATCAGCCCATAAGTCACAGCACACATTCATGGTGAGCCATGCATGCATCAGTGCCCAGAGCAGCAGCTCAGGTACTAGCACGGTGCAAGCACTGCACTGGCAAGTGAGCAGAGCCATTGCATGAGCACACTGCATGATGCGAGTTGGGAAGGTGCAGAGATCTGACTGCACTTTGTTTGCACTGCAGAAGGCAGCTCACAGCCAGGCTCAAAATAACAGATGTGCCTGGATTTCTCGTGTAAACACACACACACACACACACACACACACACACACACACACCAAGACGCACGGCAATCAGGCTCACGCACAGCACTGCCTGCTGGTTTGCAAACGTAAAGATATCAGCACACACAGCTAAGCAGATGCACGGGGCTCAGTGATGCATTCTGACAGTCACTCCCTAGTAGAGGAGATGGGTCAAACACACCCACTCTGAATTTTGCATGTACACAAGAGCACGCAAGCACTGATTCATCTTTACACATCAACTCAGGCATGAAATCCTCATCCCATGAAAGCAAAGCAACAATTAGTCCTCCATACAGCCCATCCCCCAAGAGATGTTATGCACCCAAGGAGAGGAAGCCTTCAGTGCCAGTACAGCTTCAGAATGCTTTCCTCTCTCAGGGAGGGGTGGGGTACCTCATTCATAGAAGAGCATAGGAGATGTCAGTTTTCCAAACAAGTTTATTCGCAGTTTGGCTCTGTATAGGCTAATAGAACACCAGTCGGTTTTTCATAGCATTAAAAGCCCTGAATGAGAAAATATTCCACAAGCACTATGTAAGCATTTTGCCACCTCCTATTAACAGAGAAACAAGCAACCCCTGGGACAATGAAGATGCCACAAGGTCTCCATCTCCAAGGGGTAAAGCCCAGAAGGATGGAGAAGTCACTGAGCTAACAGTCAGCTTGGCTCCTCTCCCAAGCCCATGGTTCCTGTACCAGACACATCTCCTGAATCATATTCCATTTTCTCAGACCAAGTCCTCTGTGCTCAGCCCCTGCCTATGCTCTCATGTCCTTACTCACTTTCTTCAACTCTTTTGCAGCTGAAGGAGGCAGAGAAAGTGGGATCATCCATGGGATGCGAGGCAACGGGCTCCTATGAAGAAGGGTCCTGAATGTCTATGAAGTGACTGTACCTGGGATGCCGGCATAAACGGTTGTAGGCATGAATGGTCAGTTTTGGAAAAAGCTTCAGGAAATACTCAGCATGGTCTCCTGCTATTTCACTGATCCTGAAGGAGAAAGAACAAAAAATAAAACAAGACAATAAAAGGTTTTTAAAAGAACATCCAAGGAACCCATGATGCCTCAATTCCTCCCTTGCAGAGAAAAAGCCATTCTGAAGGTTTCCTATGAATCCTTGAGCTGCAACCTTTCCATGCTTTCCCTAAGACCTGCACTCTACCTTTTTGCTATTTCTCCAGCACCTCCACCTGCATCTTCACAGAAGAGCAGTGCTGGCCACAGAAGAGCCTTGGTGAAAGCCTGACTTGGAGTTAAAGCCTGTGTCAACAGAGACCTGTGGCCTCAGATGTGAAACACCCATGGTTGTAGAGGATTAGGCAGTCCAGCAGTTCTTCAGAAGCACTGAATGAGTCATTGGCTGCCCAGGATGGTGGTGAATTCACCATCCCTGGAGGTTTTCAGGGGAAAGGTAGCTGGGGCACTGAGTGGCATGGTTAGAGCATGGGTTGGTGGTTAGACGGTCAGACTTGATGATCTTAGCGGCCTTTCCAACCTTAATGATTCTATGATTCAAACTGCCTCAGCTCAGTAACATCAGCACTTTGGAAATAGAAGCAAGCAGTAAGGAGGCTACCTCAAAATACAAGGAAGGGATGATACAAATCTGGGAGCCAGATGTTGCTTCAAAAATCTGAAGTTTAATCCTGTGAGCGAGCTTAATTCTCACCCTCAGGTGGTGTTACACAACCTTTTATACACTACTGTGCTGTCAAAGGAAGCAACCCCTGAAAAAAAGAGTTTTAGTGAACTTCCTCCCATATCCCAGGCTCCTTTCTAAAGAAGATTTTGCTCTCAAACTCACTGACACTTACAGATATCCAACAAAACAACCGTGTCAGGGACAAGCATGTGAACACGTACCTCTTATTAGGGTGCTCATCCAGATTTCTGATGAATCTCAGTAGGTGTGCGATGTTTTTCTCGTAGAATTTTTTTTTACCATCGACATTCGTCATGATGCGCAGAATCTCTCGATCAATCTGAAACAAGATTATAGCTTATTTATTCCCTGCCTTTCACACGCACCATGAAAGCAGCACATCTGCTTTTACTTATCACAACTCCTGCCTTTCTGCAGAGACATCACCTTGCATGGCTGCACTCTGTGGCACTTGACCAACATGAGCTCTGCAGGAAGCACACCATACAGACTCCCTGATCCTGCCTGGCTGAGGCATAGCATTCATATTAGGACTGTCAACGTGGCACGGTTGATTATAAACATCTACAGGTCTAGAGAGGAGGAGAGAATCCAGAGTCTTGGTCCAGCTGAGGAAAAGTTCTGGTTGAAGATCTAGCTCCAACCTTACACCAACCCAAAGACAAGAGGTTTACCTGCTTAATCCAGTTTGGGTAAAGAATAGGTTTTCCAGCATTAAGAGTGGTAAAAGCATCCTCTTTATCATCATCAGTCAGATCTTTGATTTTATTCCATATATTCTTTAGGACATTGAACTTCCTGCAGAACAAGGACCTTCATTAGCTGCAACAGCTAACACCATTCCCAGCATTGCAGGCAAATCCTGCACAAACAACTTGTCTTTGTGCTCTTAGGGCTTACTTCTGTTTGCTCCAGAAATAGGGGTGCTCGCTCAGATCTTCCAAGCCCCGTTCATCATGAGAGGCCAGGCTATCAATAAGGTCCAAAGCCTCCTCATAATCCATGGAACCCGCATCCATATCCTTCGTACTGACTTCATTAAGGGGTTTCCTACCCCCTGTTAAAACATACAGCATGAGCTTGCTGAGGTTCTGCAAAGAAACAAATCAAGACGTGTGAAGGTTCTTACCAAACAGAAGAATTGGGACCAGTATTCCTAAGTGAGCAGAATGTATACATGGGTCTGCAGGTGTGCACAACAGTGCAAATATATATGGATAGACACTCTGAAGGTTTGTGCACAATGAGATGGGGCAAACACCATAATCCAGATCCCAAGGGCTGGGTCCCAGAACCAGCCCAAGCCTCACATCCCAATCACTGCCATTCTCATATGTGGTATACTGCGACATGGGCTTGCCCCAAAAGCAACACATCTTCTAGTTGAGGATGCACAAGAGATGCCCCTATAAATCAGCAAAAGAAAGCATCAGAAATATCCTGAGACTTGAAACTGTACATTGATTAGGAGGGAAGTTACCTCTAAGTCTTTGTTGATAACTTCAGTTTTGCCTTCAGTCAGCTTTCTGGTGCTATCAAAATCTGTCAAGTAAATTTTGCCACCTAAATCTGGGGAAAAAAGAGAATGTTAACAAGTGAGGAACATTGATACAAGCTTGTCACTGCTTTCTTTAGAAAACAGATCTCTGGAGAGACTGCTGTGGGTTGTGCTATCTGCAAAGTCCAGAAATGCGAGCAGATCTAATGAGACATGAAAGCTACTCTATTCACTCCCCCAGGGCTATCTGGAACACATCTGTGCTGATCCAGAGAACTAATGCCACTCTGCATAAACTCATCTGCACCGGTCTTTCATACCTGGCTTAGGATGGGAGGTGTCAGGCAACAGGAAAAAAAACAAAAACAAAAACAAAAAAAACCCCACCAGAACAACAAAAACCAACCAACCTATCAAGAAGTTCTTGGGATGCAGAGACTGGTGAGCAAACCCGAGTGAGTGCAGCTCTCTCACTGCCTGGAAGATCATCTTCAGGATGCCTTTGGGATCCTTTTGGTCTTCCGGGTCCTGCAGATGTTCTTCGAGGTTTTTCTCCCAGAGAGGGAAGCACAAATACATGCAGCCCTTTTCTTGTTCAGATTGGAAGAGCTTCAGTAGATGTTCACAGCTCCCACATAGGCCAAGGAATGTTTTCTCCTTGACACCTTCTGCACGGTGGTGTATCCATACTGCCACCTCCATCTCATCATAGAGCCCAAGGTAGATGTTGTCCTGAATTCTCTGAGAGGCGTGCTGAAATACTTTTAATTTGCCAATCATGGGGCGATACATCTTATGAAGACTTTGCAGCTGGTGCCTCCAACGTTTGCTCTTTGGCTCCCACTTGTCAGGTTTTGTTGGAACAAACATGGTGTTATACTTCAGAAGAAGGCATGCCATTTCACTAGCACGGTTCCTATTTGCAACAGCAACAAGTTCCCCAGTGTCAGTCCTTGCACCTTTCTTACACAGCATCTCTGCTATATCATATGTGTTTTTCTCTACAGCCACTGCCAGAGCTGTTCGGCCATCCTCACCTGCTTCATCAATTTTTATGTCATCCCTGTCCAACAGAGCTTCCACCAAACTTGTATTCTTCCTTTGCACAGCTAGAATGAGGGCAGTTTTGCCAGCTTCATCTTTGCAGTTGACATCAACACCACGTTCCAGCAGGAAACGGCCTATTTCAAAGACATCTGACTCATTTTTTCCCCTTACATTATCTTTGAGGGCATGGATCAAGGCATTCCTACCTTCATTGTCACAAATGTTCACATCAGCCCCCATCTCCTGGATAAGGGTTTTTACCACTGAGAAGTGGCCTCCCAGACAAGCATCCATCAGTGCAGTCTTCCCTCCCTTGCTCAGTTTCTTCTTCTCCTCACTGGCTGTCCTCCTCAAATTCACATCTGCTCCTTTGCTGTGCAGGAACCTCAAGGCTTCCTCCTTCCCATACAGAGCAGCTTCCATGAAAGCAGTGAATCCATTATCGTCACTGTCATTAACGTTAAACCCACAACCAAAAAGGAGCTCCAGTATTTCCACGTCTCCCACCATCGCTGCCTCAATAAACGCAGTGCCACCATTATCCTTCCTGGTGTATGGGCACGCACCTTTGGCCAGCAAAAGTTGGACCATCTCCTTGTCACCAGATTGCACAGCACTTTGAAGCGGTGTCCATCCAAATTCTACTTTGGAGTTCACATCTGCCCCATTTTCCAGCAGCTCCAGTACCTTTTCCCTCTGGCCATATCGCAAAGCATCATTTAACTCAGAGGCAATGTTTTCTGCTCTCTGCATGCTAGATGCCTCCTTCTGAATGTGGGCTCTGGGCTCCATGATGATCACAGGGAGGACTCTGTACCCTGGTGTTCCTCACCAAGCAAACATCAAAGATCCAGAGATCTCAGTGAAGAACAGGTTAAGTCAACACTCATTGTCTTCATCAAGAGGGATGCTCCAGGTCTGGCTGATGGAATGCACTAGGTGAGATATTGGCTTCATGGTCTTCACCTAATTAATAAGCAGAAGACCCTATTTTATTAAGCCATGAAACCTAATCGTTTACACTGATGCCTTGCAGATGTGAGAGGAGCAACTAAGGATAGCAATGCCAATGCTAGCTGAAACAAGCATGACTACAACATTTACTGGGGGACACATTCCCCACTCATCCTCATTGCTTGCCCCATTTCACTGGCCACAACACAAGCAGAATGGCACATCTGAATGAAGGGATGGGGTGAATTTAGGATGTTCTTGTTAGTAAAGTAATGATGGATTTCCTGCAGGTTACCCAGTAAGCTGGTCCCTGATGTTCTCCCCATCCAGTTGGAGAACACAGACGCAGGCAGAAACTGGCACTCTCCTGCCTAACAAGCAGAATCCTAGATAATTAATCTGAACTAATCAGAAAAGGGGCAGAGCAGTTTTTATGCAAGAAGCCAAAGTTTAAATTCACAGCAGTGTACCCTCGGGAAAGACTAAGACCCCATTCTAGTATGGCTCCCACCCTCTCTTCCCCAAACCACAAAGCAGTAACTGAACACTGTATTTCACTGACACCCCACCCCTCCAGCACAACAGGGCCCCACCAAGTGTCCCACCACCAGCAAGAAGAACCTGCAAGCCCTGGAAAGAGGAAGAGGAGAGGAAAAGCATGCAAAATGGAGATCTATGTCTGTCCTTCCCTTTTTTCTTCTTCTTCCTCTTCCGAGATGCAGAACAGCCCGCCCAAAGGAGCGTTAAGCATTTCTGGCCCATCCCACTGGCTCTCAGCCAGAGGACACGCCAAGTCACACAGCCCTGCCTGCAGTCACACATTGTCAGCCATAACCACCAGCTCCAGGCAGACAAGAACAGGATCCTCTAATCAGTTGCAAGCCCAGCAACAGCTTAAGACAGCTCCAGAGCCAGGGAGCAGCTTTGCCAAGAACAAGCTCCCAAAGGATGGAGCAGAACCTAGAAGGATTGTGCTGACTTTTGGAGGAGAAGAACAAGCTTTTGGGAGGTGTGTTTGGAGGCACTTTCAGCATGCAGCAGAGGTCTGCAAACCTGCTTGCAAGGTTCCATTCTCATGACCAAACAGAATCTCGTAAGTCTCACCCAGGGGATCACCAAGCCATGTTGGAAGAAGGCAACTGCCTCCTACATCATTCTTGATGGCTGTCACCCCAGGATCACCTTTTATATCTCCCCCTGCTACAACACCACTCAAGGTAGCCTGCTACAGGTTCAGCACAGGTTCTTCACTCAAGGGAGTACCAACTTTTAGATAACTGCGGGCAACTCTGCCATAGCTCTATGATTTCCAAGCTGTTGGCCAGTGGATATATATAGCACAGGCATTTTCAGTCCAGCTGTCCAACTATCAAAGAGTCATTAAGTCTGGAAAAGACCTCTGGGACCATCAGGTCCAAACATAACTCACCCCCATCATTCCCACTGCCCACATCCCTCAGTGCCACACCTCCATGGTTCTGGAACACCTCCAGGGACAGTAACCCCCACCACCCTCCTGGACAGCCTGTGCTTATTTATGGTCCAGAAGCCTTTTTTGAAGAGTCATCTTTGGCTTGAAGCAGGCCAGCATTGCAGCTCTTTGAGCATGATCCTTACAACCTATTATTAAAAAAAAATAATAATCCAATTTACAACACTAAAATACCAATGCCACCCAACTACATTAAAGCAGTTTGCTGTTTAATAGCATAAAGATGAAAGGGAGCCAGTTCTGACAGATGCACCATCAGAAATTGTTAGCCACAATACAAACCATTTGTAAACAGCATTATTGCCAGCAAGACAGAGGCAGTCTCAGGATGTCTCCAACACTACAACAGTTTTTTTGGGGCTGCAGTGCAGAAGCTCAGCTTCACAGCACGACAGTAGCATTAGGACCACAAAAAGCCAAGCTGAGGACAAGGAGCAGCCAAAGGATGGAAAAGTGATGGCTACGATGTTGTATGCCTGCACACCAGCAAAGCAGAGGGCTCAGGAGATGGGTTATGGACACAAAAAGCAGGGAGACAAAGCACACAGTGATGCAAGTCCTCCTGTTCCTCCATGCTGATGGACACACACCCAGTTTGCAGCTCTCCCTTGAGATAGCATCCACGCACTGACCACAAATAAACATGATCTAAAAGATGACAACAGAAATTGCCTGCTAAGTCAAAATAATTTTTAAAGAAGCTAAGAATAGTAAGGATGGGTCTTTTTTTCGTGTTCTTTGTACTTCCTTCCTTATTATATTTCTAACTAAGAACATCCAAGGATTTATACGCTTGGCCACGCTACCATGCTGGAGCAGAGCACTGGAAAATAGCCTACAGGAAGATGTGACCTGAATGTGGCAGGTGGAGCTCTGAATACAGAATCACTATGGATGGAGAAAACCTCTAAGAACACCTAGTCTAACCATCCATTGATTCCCAGTGTTGCCTACTATATCATTCAGTGTCACAGCTCCCCATTTGAACACCCCCAGAGATGGTGGCCCCACCACTCCCCTGGGCTGCCTATGCCAATTCATCACCACCCAGAGAATAAATGTTTCCCAATATCCAGCCTGAAGAACTAACCAAAGCTCATTCTGCAGCACTTGCTACACTTCCTATCTATATTTGCTTCCCTTCTGGGCTGCTGCTCTGTTCTCACCAGTACAAAGAAAACCAAGTCTAAACAGCACATCCATAGCAAGCGGGCTCAAGAAGAGGTGAGCAAAACACCCAGGCATACAAGTACCCCACCAAGCAGGTCACCATCCACAGTGCGTGGACAAGAAGAGCAGAACAGATCCACTGAAGGCACCCAAAGTACTTCAAACAGGCACCCAACCTGAGGACATAAACTTAAATGCATTTCACCAGCTGGGAGGGGGATCCCAGCACAGCTTCTCCCATCTGTTTCCCACCCCCTGCCCTTCCCCACCGGCTGTGCCTGGGTTACAGCTGCAGCACATCAGAGCCAGCATGGAGCATAAGGCTGCAGAGCCCAGCACCCTGCAGTGCCAGAAAGCAGAATACTGCCCTTCATGTTGTAGCATCTATTTGCAGGTTGTCTTTCCATAATACATAATGGATGAATGCATGCAGTCACATATCAGAATCTGATCCCAAATTCCCAGACAGTGCCCTGGGAAACTTTGGCCATGGTTTATGGGAGGCTTCAGCTCTGGTTTCTCAAGGGGGGTCTGTGGTTTGAGGGTTTTTTTGTTGGTTTTTTTTTTTCCCCAAGGCTTTGTTATATGAGCCTGGGGTTTTGCCAGCAGTGAAGGATGTATTAGATGCAAGCATGTGGTTTTGTCAATGGAGTTTTCTCTTTGTGAAATGAAACAATGCCAATTTGACCTTTTTTTTTTTTTTTTTTTTTTTTCCAAATTGACCTTTTTAGTAGAAAGTCACATTTGAATTGCTGTTAAAGTGTGCAAGATTTTTTTTTTTTTGTTAGGCCCTGCAAATCAAATGGATGTGATTTTGTTTCTATTTGCCTCAGTGCCATTTGTTGCTCTTGGAGTCTTTATTTCTGGCTAATTTAAACACATGCTGGCTATATTTCACCTCAATTCTTGAACAAAAGATAAGGTGGGCAGCTTCATCTCTCTTCCTCCATTCAGGTGCACGACAATTGTAGAAGAGCTGATGTGATCTTTGGAATGTGTGGCCATGCCAGAAGAGACAGGAGTGTTTGTTATGGAGGCTGTTGCTTGCAAACATCACTGCAATGGTTGTGACCCACTTGTGTTAGCAGCATTGCCTCGGGATCTAATTGCCCATTATCTGCAACACAACTCTCCCTCACTTCCTGCACTCGTGCCCTCCTCAATACAGCTCATTTTGCCTTCCATACAGGCAATAAATAGAAAGTTGGAGGTTTGAAGGCATGCTTGGTTTGGTTGTTATTTGGGGCAGCACTTGGATGAAGCATCCTGGACCTTGGGAAGCAATATGTTCTCAGCAGGAGTTGGGTGATTTCCAACACCCTTCCTGGTACCATGAGGAAGTTTTACTCTTCACAGGTTTCCCCTTCCCTTGCTGTTTTTCTTAGGTCACAAGTTTTAAAGGGGCTGTAGGTGGCCTCAAGCCACGAACCACAAGCAGCTTTCCTTACATGTGTGCTTTGTAACGGCCCCCCAAAGGCTGCAAGAGAAGATCAATGAAAAGCCCACAACCAGTAATGGTGTCACAGCATTGCCCTCTTTGTGTTTTATTTTGTAACCATGACATCATGTTTGTGGCAAAAATGGACCTCTGTATGCCGTTCACTTCAGTAACACAACGAAGGTGGTTCCAGTTGTAAAGGTAAATAATAAATAACAAAACAGCTCAAATAGCCCCATGAATGCAGCTGGGACCCACCAGACTCAGAGGTAGAAGCGGGAAGAGGACTCAGAGAAACATCCTTAAACTGGTCCTTGGGGTTCCTCAGCTGCAGACTGGCCAGGGCAACACCAGACCCAACTGTAAACCAAACTGTAAACACAGCTTTTACCTCCTAAGTGATTTAAAAATAAGTTTTCAACACTCAAAGTGCCCTTCTGCTCTGCTATTCTCTGCCTAGAACAAGCTGCTAGCCCACGTGCCGAGGTGCCGGCCACAGAGCTCTATTTAAGGGCAAAAAAAGGGAAATGGCATGAACTGCAAAGCATCCTTTTATGGCCATCAATGGTCCTCCATGCTCCCAGGAACCTCAGACCCAGTTCGGTGCAGCTTTCCCTGCTGCTATTTGTGTACCTTGCTCCACAGATGCATTACAAAGCTATTTTTCTCTCTTGCAGTTATTATACAGAAGCTGTGGGAGGCATGCTAAGTGCTGCAATACCTAAAATAAATTAATTTACAAGCTCCTCCAAGCAAGGGATGTGTGCATGCTTTGAGCAGTGCTCTTCTCATAAATATATCATAACAATAGCCACAAAATAAATAATAACAATAACAAAAATGCCTGTGACCTAAGTTCAGGTGCAGCCTGCAGGCCACAAAGTTTAAGGAAAGGATAGAAAAGTCATTGCTAAGGCCATGCTGCTCCCTGGCCCACCGCTCTTCTTGCTGAAACACGGATGGCTTCAATCCTGTGCAGCCCTACAACGGGACCACCGGCAGTGGGGTGGGAAGGCCTCTCCGTAGGGCAGCCTCAGTGGGAGCACTGAAGGTCCTGGGCGTCCTGCTGGAAGGCTGGGATTTCAGCCAAAACTCCACCACCAGGCCCTCGGTGCCCATCCGGAGCGGGTTTGGTGCTGGGCATGGGTCAGGTGTGCAAGCGCTTGTTGATGCTGCGGCTGGCAGCCTGCTTGGTCATGTCCTGGTAGGAAGCTGACTTCAGGAAGCGGGGGTAGGAGTCCTTCTCCATCAGGGTGCGGGTCTTTGCCTGAGCCTCGTTGAAGCAAGCGGAGGTGGCTCCTGTGAGGTTCTTCCTGGTGATCTCCCTGGTTTCGTGGTCAATGTTAACCTGCGAGGAAGGAGTGCCCATAAATGTTAGCTTAGTGCTGGCCAGTGTGGGGAGAGGAGCAGGCTTCTCCTAATGAGGATGAAGACACAGGGTTGTAAAATCATTACGGTTGGAAAGACCTCTATGATCATCAAGACCCACCATCAACCCGTGCCTCTGACTGCTCAGACCATGTCACTCAGTGTAACATCTACCCTTCCCTTGCATACCTCCAGGGATGGTGACTCCACCACCTCTCTGGGCAGCCTGTGCCAATGCTTCACCATTCTTTCTGAGAAGAAACTTTTCCTCGTATGAAACTCGCAGGCTTTTACACCCCTTCATTTTGGGCCATAACATGAGATTGGAAAGCTCAGGTGAATGAGGCCAAACCTTCCCACTGAGCTGAAACAGCATCTACCAAAACCCATCGGATATTTTCGGATGTTTTATCCCTTCCCCTTCCCATCCAGTGCCACACAGCAGAGGCAGGGTCAGCTCTCACCTCTCTGGGTGCCTCGCTTTGGACAAACTCCTCAAAGATCCTGTTGGCTTTGGAGGCCAGCTTGGTTTTGGAGCGGGTCTTCTTGAAGTCCTCGCAGGCCAGCCAGAAGTCCAGGTTCTCCTCGCTGAACTCAGTCTTCAGAAAGGTGTGGAAGGCAGTCACCCCATCTGCAACAGAGGGACAGGCAGTGAGTGGGGTTGGAGGGGAAGAAGTCATCAGGACTTGCACTGGGAGGTGATGGGGCTGCTGGATGTGGCATTGCCCACCATCTCCCTGGGAGACCATACCACAGCATCTGTGGATTTCCTTTCCCTCTGGACAAACTCCAGCCTCTGAACCTCTGCTAATTGGCCTTAAGGCTCCAATAAAATCCTTTCCCACAGACGAATAATCCTCCAGTTTTATTTATCTGACCTTTCTGTAATGAGTCTTTAGAGTGGTTTCTTTACAGTTTCGGAAAAGAGCTAATTCTACGAGGGGAAAATCTGCTGAGATATGAGTATGCCTGCGGGAATCAAGGAGAGATGGCTTTATTTTTATTTCTCAGCTGGGATTTAGGGGAATGAGATGCTGAGGAGTATGGGAGAAGTGCCTGCAGCAGGGAACCAGGCTTGGGGGAATGTATTTATTGAGTAACAATAAGTAATAAAGCTGCTAACCTTCACAGCACATGACGAAGGCTGGAAAAAGATGCCTGGCCCTAGACTAGCACTGTGGAAGGACTGTCTGTTGCCATGGAATAAATTTAAGCAGACAAATACTTTTGTGTTCATATTTGGTCTCCTTGCTGGCCCTACGGGTACAACGCCTTACATGAACCGTATAAACTGCTGTGAATTCTGGAGAGGAAAATGGAGGTGTGCATCTCAGCACAGCGGTTGAACGCCTTCTCTCCATGTAAGAGCCATAGGAGAGGTATAGGATGGGCAGACAGAGGACAGCAATGTTTTCCAAAGCAATAAAATCCTGCGTGAAAGCAATTACATGGGCGGCAGACATGAGCCCAGAGAATGTAATGGAAAGGTACATGCCACCTCTCAGCATGCCTGCGGCAATGCTCCTGGCCCACAAAGCTGTGAGACAGCACTTCTGCCCCCCAAAAACATCCAGCCAGAAGGGAAGGGTAAAGCCACAGGGACATGGCTGCACACTGAGCATGAGGGCATTTTCCGAGTTTCTACAGCAGCTAACTGAGGAGGAGATCTGGCTCCAGGATACATCCTACATGCTCTTATAAAGAGGAGAAAACAAAATCCGACTCACTTTTACTCTTGAGGAGCTGGTCAAAGGATTCCCTCCACTCAAGCACTTCTCGTGAGGAGTCTCTGCAAAAAAAAACCAAAAAACAACAGGACATGAGGCTTGCCATCTTGCCAGTAAAAGATGGGAGCACTTCATTAAAGCAGTTCACAATGAGACAGCACAAGAAGAGAAGCAGCAGCACCAGCAGAAAGCCACAGTGAGACCCCAGTATCCTTTACCTGTGAGCCCTCTTTCCTTTCTCTTTTCCTCTTTCTTTTACATTCCCCGATGGCTCACCAGACCTCAGCTCCATAGTGCAGCTTTGGCTGGGCAGTCTCCTCTAGAGGATGCTCAGCAGAGCCCTTTTCCCCAGTAGCAGCCCAGCAGAGCCCCCTCTGCATGCAGGTGCCTGGCCAACAGCCACAAGGTTCAGTATTTTGTTTTTAATGCTGTATGCATTCCCTGGGGGACTCAGGCACGGGTTTGAAGTATCAGCACCTGTGGGAGCCTTCTGGCTTTCCAACTTGATGCAAAGCCCCCACTCTGCCTAATGCCGGTGCATCCCTCTCCAACCCGACTTTATAACTGGTGGAGCTGGGACGTGGCAGGCAGTGGGGCGGGACCGCCAGGACGAGCAGAACCGCATCCTCCCCGCCAAGCAGAGCATCCCCAGGGACAGCCCAGTCCAAGGGGACCTGCAGCCTCAGCTTACCTCCGCCTGGAGCCCAGCTGCAGCTTGCCTGCTGCCCCGCTGCCGTGTCTCAGCTCCGGTTTATGCAGCAGGATCCCCAAGCGGGTCTTGAGTTCCTTGGCTCTGGAAGGGAGGAAGTGGAGAGGTTGGAATGTGGGGACCGCCACCACCATCCCTGTTTGCAATCCCATGTTTGCAGGGGTAGCTCTCTCTCCTCCTTTCTTGCTTTCTGCTGCATACAACAAGCAGTCCCCTAATGGCTTTTTCTGCTCCCTGGCAACCGTGCTCCGCAGCGAGCTGGAAAAATCACAGCACTCGCCTTCTGCTCAGCAGAGAGGGAGCATCTCCATGCTGAACTGTCACAGCTACTCCCCTGCTTTTTGGGGGTGCCACAGAGATGCCGCTGTCACCTACCCCATGCCTCGGGGACTTGGACAGCACAAGGGCAGCCGTGCCAACTCAGAGCCAGATGAGTCCCCACCGGGTGTCCTGCAGCAACAGGGCAGGAGCTGCTGCTAAATCCACTCCTCTCCCTTGGGTCCTCTGGCAGCGCGCAGCCCTGCTGCTATTTGTGTCCTGCAGCTCCTGCTGGCATCCCAGAGCGCCCGTGCAAAAATAAGTGCTTAAATGTCAGGGCACCAGCATTGCATGGCTTCGTAGCCATGTTTGGCAGGATGTCACCGAGTGCTGTGAGCGCCTCAATTAAAGCAGTGCTGCTGCCTACCTGTGCTGAGATGGAGGCGGCAGAACAAACATCTTATGTGCACACGGCAAGGTGTGGGGCAGCCTATGTGTTTTAGCTCTGCATACCTCCCTGGGAACCACAGCAAATCCTGCAGCCGTCCCTAGCTGTGAGTTCAGTGCAATCTGCACCCTGATTTCTATCAAGACATCAGCAGAGGCTGATCCAATGTCAGGAGCATCTTTTCCAGCTAACCCTCTGCTTCCCAGCGCTGCGGCGTGGCAAAGCCCCTTACCTCTCCAGGCAAACGATAGGAAGCGCAGCCAATCGTCGGCACATGCTGAGAGCTGGGCACTGAGGCATCCAGCAACTCATTGAATCCTCTGAGCACCACCTGTACTTCTGCGTTGCGTGCTGCTGGCTGGAATAACGTCGAGGAGCTGTGCTTATATGGGGCGGGAGGGCTGGGAGGGTACCCGGCTCCACTCCAGCCTCCAGCCAACCAACAGCTGCTCGGCACCAGCAGAGATGATAACTGCTTGGGTAGGTGCAAAGGGAGGGGGAGGGAGGCTCGTCCTTGAGCTTCACAGTCAGCACTGCTTCCTCGATAAGTGGAAAAAACAGGCTTGCGTCCACCGACGTGTGCAGCCTGCTGAGTAACCGCGGGGACAGTGAAGGGGACAAGCAATTAGTCAGCACCATCCCACCGGCTGATGACTCCAAACCCTCATCCCTGCATGGTGAAGGCTGGCGTGGTGGCATCACTGCAGCAGGAACACAGGGATCAGCACACCTTGCTGACCCCATGGCAGCCCCCCGGCACCACGCTGCTGTGCAGAGCAGAGCTTTCCGGCATTTTGGCACTACTCAAAGAGCATCACGGCCAAGTTCAAGGCTGATTAAATGAGGGCTGATGTCTGCCCGTGTCTCTTCATCGCAGATTGTCTGGGAGAAGGGGAGGGGAAGAGCACAGATGAAAGACTGAACGTAGCGTGGGGAAACACCTGGTAAAGGGGCATCCCAATGGGAACTGAAGATGGAAAAAGTAGAGCTGAAACTCTACTGAAACTAAGACACAGAAACAGGCAAGAAGATGGGAACTGAATGGATGCTCCTCATCCTCTCCTTTCTCCACACTTCTCCCATTAGCACCAACTCAGCAGCCAGCAGAGGCATCTTTCATGAATCCAAGCTGCCTCCTGCCTTGCTGCCCCATTGCCAGCATCAATCCAACATAGTAATGGCCAGAGCTCACAGGAGAAAATCTGGCCATGGCAGCAGACTTGGAATTAGATGATCTTTAGGGTCCCTTCCAATCTAAGCCATTCTATGATCCTTGTTTCCTTTCCAACTCAGGATGTTCTGTGGTTCTATGATCACTGGCCCTGACGTTCCAGCCGTCACTTTGCTCCAGCCCCTTCCTCCCCACTGCTTTTCCCCATAGAAATAAGGTGTAGACATACCTTGTCTCCTCTAGCATCTTTTGAATGCTCAGGTGAGAGAAGGCTGATGGAAGTCAGATGTTAGGAAAAGGCTGCAATGGGAGCCTCGACTTTTCAAGCCCCACAGGAGGAAGAGAACCTTTATAAAACCTCAGCAGGAGGGAAACCATAGAACCATCAGGGTTGGAAAAAATATCCAAGATTACCAAGTCCAACCTTCAGCCTGACCTATAGAGGCCCACCACTAGCCCTTGTCCATTAGTATCACATCTACACATCTCTTCAATACCCCAGGGATGGGGGACTCCCCCTCTTCCCTGGGCAGCCTGCTCCAAGGCTTGGCCACCCTTTCCAGGAAGAAATTCTTCCCGAAATCCAACCTAAACCTAAAATCAAGAGCCAGCCGGAGGCTGCATCTTCTTGGGCAGCAAGGCTGCTCAGCCAGAAGATGCACAAAGCCATGGAAAATTATACCTGAGCCACTGCCCTGCTGCCTCGGGGCAGGTTTTGAACTTTCCCCTTCAGTGGGTGAACTCCAGCGTGGGAGATGGTCCGTGCTATATTTTCTAATGCACAGCTCCTCATTAGGGTTATGCAATAACTTCTGAGCCTAGCTACGTGTGTGTACTCAGATGTCTTCATTCTGTTCAATATCTAATTTAATTATGTGCTTCCTGTCTCATTTAGCCTAGCAGCCTCCTGCAGCTCCAGTCCTTGTCCAGCTCTGTGTTATCAGCCCTTGTTTTGGAACACAAAAACCCAGCTGTGTTGCAATGCCTGGGGCTGGGCTGCTTTCCCATCAACATGCTGCAACACTGGCAGCATGAAGCCCACCACCCGTGGAACCAGCATGGCCCCTCACATCACCAGCAAGGTCCCAGCATCCAGCCCTGCTGATAAGAACCTCCCCGTTGCTATTTCCCTATAGGTATTTTTGCTGGAAGAGACGTGGAAGAAGGAAGAGGAGCCACGGTAAATAGGGAACAGATGTTGGGCGTGGAGAATGGGAGCAGAAGGGAAGGAGCTGAGGGATGCGAGCAGAGGAGGAAATGCAAAGTCATGTGGCTTGGTGGAATGGGAAGGGTACAGAAAAGGATGGGAGGTAAGGGGAGAAGGGGAGGAAGAGCTTATGCATGTGTGCACAATTGTGGGTCTCCATAGGTCAGGCTGAAGGCTGAACTTGGTAATCTTGGATATCTTTTCCAACCCTGATGGTTCTATGGTTTCCCTCCTCCTGAGGTTTTATAAATGTTCTCTTCCTCTTGTGGGGCTTGCATGGCACCAGCCTGTCCCGGTCATCACAGGAGGGTGATGCTGATTCACCAGACTCCTTTCCAATGGACTGGGAGGAGCAGCAGTCAGTGATGGTTAATATCTGAAGGCCGTGCCCCGAGGGCTGTGTCTGCACAGAGGGGTGTTGGATGGATTACCAGCCCAAAAAAAAAAAAAGCACTCTGTCCTCACACACAGCATTGGAGGGAATCATTGCTCTGGAAATTCATAGCAGCATGGAAAGGGATGACTGAAAGACAGAAAAAAAAAATCATTAAAAATTAGAATTACAAATGGGGTTTTCAAGGGGCAGCTGTTACCCACTCTGCCCCTGCAATCGCTTTGTGCAGCACGCAAGCACAGCTGTGTAGGGAGAGGTATCTGACAGCAGGTATTTTTAATCTTCCCTTTCCGATCCCAGCACCTGCTTTGTAAAGACACTGAACAGCAAGGGAAAAAAAAAAAGAAAAAAAAACCAACAAAGGCAGCAGCTAAATATATCCTAACGGAGAGCAGAGACAGAGCGGCACTAATGGCAGATTCTCCCCTTGGATGCATGCAAATCAGTTTGGCTCAGGGAGAGGCTTAGAGGGAAAGGAGCTGCAGATGAAAGGAGAAAACAATGAAAGAAGATCATTAGGGTCAACAAAGTGGGGATAGGAAGAGAACAGAGGGGGTGATAAATTGCACTGCAGCAATTCCTGTAGAAAAACAAGCTTGCTGAGGCTTTCTTTTTGAATGAGGCTGCAGCCCTGCATGGGCCATGTAACTAACACTCACCTGTGGGCAGAGAGGGATATCAGGAAACATTTCTTCTCTTAAAGAGCAGTGATGGAATGGCACAGCTGCCCATGGAGTGGAGGGGTCACTGTCCCTTGAGGTGTCACAGAACCATGGAGATGTGGCACTGAGGGACGTGGTCAATGAGGGGCATGGGGTGGGGGGTCCCCAAGGATCCCCCAAGGTCTTCTCCAACCTGAATGACTCCATGCTTCTGCATTCCTTCCCAATGGCCATAATGCAGCGTGACCTGTAGGACAGTAGGATGCATCCGACTTCACAGCTTTTCCAGACACACAGGCACAACAAGGCAGGTAGTTCTCAGGCTGTTTATTTCACATCCTCATGATGTCTATACAGTAAAGGTGAACAATGCATCGCAGTGCGGTGATGTGGCTCAGTGGGATGTGGTCTGTTCAGACAGCTGATGGGGTGAGGAGTTCCTCCAGGTAATGAGGGAGGTGACCCTACAAGCTAATAAGCAATTGATAGATAGGGAAGGCCCAAATGAACCCAAGCCCACACCTTCCCCATAGGGAAGGAATCAGGCTGAACCCCCGTGTCCTGCCCAAGCAGCTCCATCACCCAGTGGCACCGCAGCTCCCAGACACAGAGGAGACAGTTACAGCATCAGGACCTATTAAAATAAAAACATTGCTCTTTTCATTGTACCTGAAAAGAGTTTTTCTGCCCCATTCTGAAGTCACCCCATACATTCATTCCCCTCCACATCTCCTCTGAGCCACACGCAGTGATGCCTCCTGAGGAGCACACACCTTACACCACTCCTTGCTTGGTGATGGGGTCAGGTCCTTGAGGCTGTCATCCCAAAAAAGATGGAACTTAAGGAGAAGTCTGAACTCTGAGTGTCTGATGGGTTTTTCTTGTAGAGAGATGGGAAGATATGCTTCAGTTGTGGTAATTAAGAGAAAGGGACTCACCCCAGGGAGAGCTCTTTAATTACCAGCATCCCACAGAGGGCTGCATAAACAACACAAAATGCCTCCTTCCCCCCATTACTTTTCAGCTGGGCATTGGTAGAGAAGCATAAAAACATTTCTTCCAGGGCAGCACTACTAACTGCACTCTGAGTGCAAAGCTGATCAGTTCCAGATCTGCTGTGCTGCAGGTTCAGTATCAGCAATGGGCTGCAGGAGGCACCAGGTGCTCCAGAAGCAGGCACTGCCTGGTGTCCTGTGCCCTTTTGCCAGCAACGCTCTGTTTTCTCTGCACTAAGTTCATCCCTTTTGCCACCTCCCTCCCATCCACTCATTTCCCTGAACTCCCACTGAATTTACTGGAGCATCAAACCAGAGAAGCATCCTTCCAGTAAAGCCAAAAGGAAGCACAGAGCAGAATGACCAAGTTCACTGAGCAAATACACCTTTATTTACACTCTGTTTTGTTTAATCAGGAAGCTCAGAGGAAACAGCTGCAGCCGTGCTGGAGCAGCCCAGCAGCGAGCACCAAGTGCAGCCCAGCTCCGTCTCACCCAGCAGCACGTGGAGCACGAGTGGGCATACAGCATGGCACAGGGATGAGAAAAGCCCAGGGGGTGCACAGATGGGAAAAGCTTTCTGGTCTAGCAGCAACACGTGGGTTCGTTCCAACTCCAGGATCAAAATGCTTCAATGCCAGAGATACACCGCACTGAGACATAAGAAAACTGCAGCAGCCCCAGGGATGAAAGATGATGTGTAAATGATGGGGAGCGTTTTCTTCTTATATAATGCGCAAGGAACAGCTACTCGGAGCTCTGTAGGTGTGTAGGCAAGACAAGCATCCAGTGAAGGAAAGGAAAAATGGACGCGGGTACAGAGGGTATGCAAACAAGAGGCAGTGTGACCCAGGCTTGTGCTGGTGGAGGGGAAGGGCATGGACAGGAGTGCTTCAAGTGAGGGTGAGGAAGAGGAGGGATGGCCACAGGGACAGGACTGAGAACCAGAGAGGGGCTCGGGGGAGAAGCTGGAGGCCCACAGGGGAGAGTCGCAGTGACACGCGAGAGGCACTCCAGGGCTGGCATGAGGTATGCTTTGCTATTGCTCTGAATGCTGTAAACATTTTGGTTTTGTGTCTATCGGTGAACATTCAGTTCAGTTTGATACAGGTGCTCTTATGGGTAACTGGAAGCCTAGCAGAGTTTACATCTCCTATTACTAGTCAAACCTACACAAGAGGAAAACACAACACCACTAAAATCTCACTGTCTGTTGTTTATGCCTAATTCTCCTATTTTATCATGCAGATTTATGTCTCAGAAAAGCTTCTCTAAAAGGAGACACGAGGTAACACAGACACAAATTGACATGCACTCTCACCCACCTACACCCCCATTTCCCTCCTGTGCTTAACTCATGGGACTTTGCCCTTCACGCTCTCACAGCGTGGAGAGCAGGGACCCATCAGAGCACTGACACGTAAAATGGATGGAAGTAATCCCCAGCCTGACTGGCAGCCACAGCAGGAGAAAGGAAATTGGAGCAGATTTGGGTTTCTGCATCCCCACCTGGATTTTGGGTCTGCAATCTATAAAGTGAGGAAAAGCCATTTGTAAACTCTTCCTTCCTTTGCTGCCAAAGGACTTGAGGGCTGCCTGCATACACACCAGCACAAGCAGAGTCAACAGAGCTGACTTGACTGGCACCGTTTTTTTTTCCCTTCCTTTCATGTGATGGCACTCTGACATGACTTGAAACAGGACCGAGTTTTTGGAGGTGTGTGCCTGTGGAGAGGGAAAAGGGGGTTTGTGAGATATGAATATTCCTTTCACTTCAGTGGGAGACAAATCAAAGATAGGATATTTGTCCTCGGTGAGGCTTAGTCATCATTCAGTGCTTTTCAAGGCTTTGGCTCTGTCACTATTTCCTTAATCAGCCCCTGGTTTAAGAGGAAGAGATATAAGTTGCCTATTTTAATTCACTTCAGACTGACATTTGGCATAAAAGCAGCAGCTGGTGCCAATTCCTTATTAAAAAGAAGGAAAGAAATTTACTTTAAATAACCAGGCTGCTTTCCTGCAAGAGAGACAAATTGTAAGAGCAGCAGCAAAAATAACCATGCCAGGCTCAAACACCTCAGAGAATACCTTTGCTTCACTGTACACCCTGGGACATTTCCTTTTGAGATGCTATCTGGCACCAGGTAAAGAGGAAAAACTCCCTGCATCATCAGGGATACAAATCCCATCACTTGCTGCAGCAAGGCTATCACAAAATGCCTGCTTAGAGCACTTCCCCAGATGGATGGGAGAAGGAAAACAGCTGGGGTTTCACGGGGTTTGGGCCGCTTTGAAGCTTTCTGGCACATGCTGGTGAGGATGCCAGCCCCGAGTCTGGAGGAGCACACAGAGAGATGCTGCTCTGCCAGCAAGCCTGGGCACTGACCTCACTTCTGAGCTTTTTTGCCCTCATTCCTAGACAGAAACTTACAGTTCTGCTGGTTCCTCCCCATCTGGCTGTCTGTGACAATGGCAGCAATGGGCACTTGGCTGAAAATCTGGCTGGCACTAGAGGTCAGCATCAGCCAAGCCCACTCGGAGGTGTACCAGCTTTAGGAGAAGCAATGGCAGGCAGCTCACCTCACCTCCTCCTGCCACACTCAGGGTACCTGGCACTAATCATCCCTATCACGATTTGCACCTATCTGTCCCTACAAAACCCCTCATCAACTCTTTACTACCTATTGTACATACTGTTGACTTCTAGCATCCAAGCAGACTCTGTGTATCTAAATCCAAGCATGATGTATAGCTTCAGAATTTAGTCTACCCAGCTTACACCACATTACACTTAAACCTTGATCATCTGAAGCATCAGACCTACCTACCACCCTAAACTAGAATGGAGCTTTACAGCCTCTGATAAACAACAGAAGGGAAAGATGCATGAGGTTACCATCCAGACCTTCATAAAACCAAGAAAACAGACCTCTGGTCTGCAGGCTTAAGTCCACAGACAGGCTGTCGATCTGCTTCCCCTCCAGACAACACTGCAGGAATGTGACAGCTGATAAGCTGGGAAAGCAAAGCCATGAAGGCAGTCAGCATCTCTGCACAGCACAGAGGTGTGGTTACACAACCGACATCTGCAGAGCCTCCTGCAGCTGTCATCTGGGCCATGGAGCAGGGCCAAAACACACCTTGCACACCACTTTGAGCCCGCATGGCCGTCCTGCTCACTGTTTGTATGCAAGCTTCATGCAGCAGAATCTGCGTCTTTAGGATTTCTTTGCATTGCATTGAGCCCACAGTGGACATTCAGTAGGTAACAACAACTGTCAAGAGCAAAAATAAGATTGTGGTTTTCATGTCACCTCTCCCTGCCATGAGCTTGGTCAAGTACTACCATGAGAAATGATATCTGGCATGGTAGAGGGGTCTTGTGCTTCTCTTACACCTCAGTATGGGGCAGATGGGATATCCCTTCTTCCTACCCTTTCCCAAAAGCTGGTAGAAGAAGCTGCCAAGGCCATGTATGTCCCTGGTGCTCTTTGTGCTGGGTTCTGGTACGGTGCCTAGCACAACGGAGCCTGAACGGCGACAGGAGTCCTGAGGCTGAACTACAGTACAAACAAATAATAGCAATGAAAAGCAATCATTTGCCTTAGAGGACTGGGTCTAGCAGGAGCTTTTGGGATAACCTTCCTCGTGAGAAACACTCTGCTCCTTGGCAGCAGCATGAAGACAACACTCAGCCTCCATCCCATGAAGATAAGCATACGAGGGGTCCGGAGTGGATGTTGTATCACAGAGTGTGCAAGCACAACGGGAAGGGTGCTGAGTTTGCTGATGGTTTCCACCCTGGGAAGCAGCACGACTCATGTGCCGTTGTCTTCTGTCTCCCTCCCCACAGCCTCAGTCCCCATGCCCAGAGAGGATAGCATCGTGTGCAACTGCCGCAAGGTGCTACTGCTAACCAAAAAAAAAGCACAGAAACTCAAAAAGTCTTGACACCATGTGAGGGTCACACTTCGGAAGACTCCCCTTCCCTTCCTCCCTCCTCTCTCATTCCCACTGCCTTTAACCCCATGGAACACTTAGAGATGGGTTGTTGCTGTTGTGGGAAGCACACGGGCTCCGTTGCTGTTCTAGCTGAGCCTCCTCTGGGTTTGAGACAGCAGGTCTGTGTAGATTTTGGATCTCAGGAACCTGGGGTATGAGTCTTTTTCCATCAGGCTGTGCACTTTTCCCTGGGCTTGGTCAAAGCAGGAAAGGGAGGGCTCCTGCATGTTCCTCCTTGTCAGCTCCCGTGTCTGGAAGTCAATGTTCACCTGGGAAAAGCAACAGAAGAGTTTTGGGTGCTGCTAAAAAAACGCATGTTTTGTCTCAGCAGCAGAGCAACCAAGCAGAACAACCAAGCACTTATTCTTGAACAAGTCTCAACAGCCCCCCAAACTCTGTGGGCTTAGGGACCCAGAGTTACAAATCCTGCCCCAAACTTGGAATAGTTGAAGAAGATACATACTGTCCTAAGTGTTTCTGACCTCAAGTTGCTTTTATTCAGTCTCTTAATGAGTTTACATAGCAAATATCCTACAAATGCCTGCTCAGTCTAACATGCATATCTCCTGCTGCCCAAGAATTCTCTATTCCCTCTTTTTCCTTACATGCCCAATAGGATGGAGAGTGAACTTTTAGCTGGGTTTAATCTATCAGCATACTCTTATTCAGCTATGTTGTTACAAAATAAATTGTTTGAATTTTCCCATAACAGCGTGATATTACAATGCCTTGAAATGGGACTTTAAAAAATAAACAGCCCTCGTGTTATGACTGCAGTGTGTTTGTGAAGCCAACAACAAGAGTTTTCCTGTTTTCTTTTGCTAGCAAGCCGTCAGCGTTTCTTAGGGTTAGTATTGAAAACCTGGCTGCTAAGATGTTATTTGTCATTATTAACGAGCGCCCAGACTTAAAGCTGTCTCAGAAGTAAAGCTGCCTGCTGTAACCCTGGTGGCAGCAGAACAGATCAGCTCCCTCTGCCACATGAGAGTCACCAGCAAGCCAGAATTATGACAAAAGGACTCGATTTTAGGAAGGACCTCATCCAACCTGCACTCACGTTTCTAACCCAGAAACAGCCCTGCAGAACTGTGAATCTCCCAGCAGGAAGATGCTCACTGAGGGCACTGCACCCTGAGATGTCTACACCACCTGGTGCCATCGGTGGCCTTGCAATGGCCTTGTCAGTGCACAGATGGAGTTGTGACAGCCTTCTTAGGATGAGCCCTGCCCCATCCCTGGAGATCCCCCAGGCTGTGGATGTGCCCTCGGCAGCCTGAGCTGGTGGGCAGCCAGCCCATGGCAGAGGTTTGAACTGGATGACCTTTAAAGCCATCCTGTGATTCTCTGATCCCTTGCAGCACCCGTAGGATGACAAGCACACGTGCAAGAAGACTGCTGTGGGAGAGCAGTGCTGCAAGCACTGCATTATGAATACAGTACCACAAAGCAACATCACGACACAGGATCTGACAGCTGCATCAGCCTGTCAGTACATTGAAGAGTGCTGAACAATGCCAGGCTTCAGGTGGTGACTGCACTTTTTGTTCAGCTCTGAGCTCCTGCTTGCATCTTTTCAGGAGGTCTAATTGAATTTGGAGTTAGTCAGCAGATAAACACTCTTCCCCGGAGAGTCAACAAGTTAGTCATTGGTGGGATGCTTCTAGACACAATGTCCTGTGAGGAGTGAGCCCAACTGCCTGCCTGGGGAGCGGTAGTAAAGTTGGTGGGGAGGATCTCCTAGGAAGCTGGTGAGGTTAGGAAATGTAAGTTGCAATTGCCAGCGAACTCATTGGCAATGACTAATTTAGCATTATCAAATCAGTTGCCCTCACCAGGGGATGAGTCACTGCAAGCAGAGGCACTGGAGCAGGCAGGAGGCTTTCCTGTAACAGGAAGATTTCTCCTCTTTACCCCCTCCTCCTCATCACCTCCAGGGGAAGGAAGATCCCCCAGGCCCTGCAGTTCCACCAGGGGGACAGGACCCATTCCCTGCTGAAGGGCAGCTCTGCCTACCAACCTCACGGGGAGCCTGAACGTCAATGAACTCCTCAAAGATGCGTTGTGCCTTGGCAGCCAGCTTGGCTGCTGAGCGGGTCTTCTTGAAGTCTTCGCAGGCCAGCCAAAACTCCAGGTTCTCCTCACTGAACTCAGTCTTCAGGAAAGCACGGAAGGCAGCCAGCCCATCTGCAAGGAATACAAGGGGAGTTACAGCAGGAGGAGAAAGCAAGCTGGGAACGATCCTACAGCATCCCTCCATCTGCTCCTGCCCAACCGAGGCCATTCTCATAGCTGTGTGACAGCACAGTCCATGATCTCATTATCCATCATCTAGAGTGATGCCATGTGAAGCCAAGCATTATTCACTGTGATTAATGAAAACTTAGTTTTTGCCAGCCAACATAGCAAAATGCTTTCTTTGGCACTGACATATCAAACCTTTGAAATTTGAAACAACCATAGAATCATTAAGGTTGGAAAGACCACTGAGATCATCTAGTCCAACCCGTGACTGCTCCAGTTCACATTCCTCAGTGCCACATCTCTACAGTTCTTGAACTCCTCCAGGGTTCTTCTGAGAAGTTTTTCCTCACACCCAACCTAAACTTCTCTTGGCACAACTTGATGCCATCACCTCTCATCCTATCACTGTTACCAGGAGCAGAGGCTGACCCATCTCACCACAGCCTCATTTTAGGAGCTGTAGAGAACAGCAAGGTCTCCCCTGAGCTCCTCTTCTCCACACTGCCCCATGCCATTTCCTCAGCTGCTCCCCATCACACTGTGCTCCAGACCCCACACAGCTCCCTGCTTTTTCTGGACACACTTGAATCTTGAATGAGGCAACCTGTTTCCACACCACCTTGTCCACATTAATGACGGGATGTTACAAAGTGGGGCACTAAGAAAAGCCTTTAATAAAATAGAGCACGTGTGGACTCGTCTCTGACGTTCTCCATCACTTTGCTTTATTGCCTTATGACATATTTTTAGTTCCCACTCACACAGAGGAAGGATCTTGGAGAGCACAACTGTTACAGCTACAATAAAGGAGAGAGGGAAAGGACACAGCATAATTACTACTCGTCTAGTCAGCAGTAAAAGTGTTCTTATCACTTGCTAATGCTCAGCAATTGTGACATTCCAGTAATGTAATCTGACTCAGCTGGGGCAGAATAGAAACGTTGAGAGATTTATTAGGCATCAATGTGCTCTTAAACCCCAGCTGGGTGTATTTATGGACACAGCTATTGTTTTTTATTTCCTTTCCCTGAATGGCACGAGCAGAGTAGAACTAACTGAAGGCTTTACACACACCCTTTCTCTTTTGCTAAGCTGAAGGATAAATTTGGCTCCTGTTTTTTTTTCCAGTAACACATCTCTAACTTTTCCAGTAGGGTCTGAATAGTTGTAGCTCATGACTGGAAACCTCCCCAGTCAGCCTTAGCTGCTTCCAAGGAAGCATCTATAAATACTGATGGAGTCGGGAGAGCACTCAGCAAGGTCAGGCTCAGGGAAAGAACGATGGGAGTGGATATTGGCTGAGATAGACAAAGGCTGACAGGGTTTGCAAGCCTGGATCTCCTCCTGCACTGCTGCAAGGGGTGAGCTCCACCTCACCCAACGAACTGCTCCAAGTGTCAAACAGCAGCCAACAGCCCAAGGCAGGGGAGATATCTGACTGCCTGGATCCTCAGAGGGACCAGCAGAGAAGATGCATGGCCAGATAGGACCAAGCTCCAGGCTATTACTCTCTGCTTTAGGCTTTGTGAAGATTCCTCACTGACAGGCTTGGCAATGCTAACTGCTCCATCAGCACTCTGCACTGCAAAGAGCTGCTGTGGCACAGCATCCAGCAGCTGAAACTGGAATGTCTCCACCTCAGCTACACTGCCTTCTTCCTGTCAGCCCTGGGAGGGTGGGAAATAGCTGTATCACACCCAGTGATTAACGCACTTGTAGAAAGGTTTGGGGCTGCAGCTGTGGGCGAAGGAGGGCTCTCATCCAAGGGCACTGCTGAGCACAAATTGTAGGTTCAAAACCAAAGCAGTAAGGCAACGTCAGCCCTTGAGAAGCCCGCAGAATGGAGTGTCCAAAGGCACCTCTAGGAAGCTAGCACCTGTCAGTCATGCTTCCCCTGGCTGCTCCAAGCACCTCTATGAATAGGTAGATATGGAGCAAAAGAAGACTGTTTTTGAGCTGCTCCAGTTCCTGAAACCCAGAGATACACAGATATTCTAAACTCTGCTATTTAATACCTGTAACATTCATAGTGCTTATGTGGAAGACTTGACAAAGGAGAAAGGAGCCCTTAGAGGAGGAAAAGGAGAAGACATTAACAGCTGAACTGACAGATTTCACTAAGTATGAATGGGGAAAAGCAGCAGTTCCCTGAGATTTTGCCATTTAGTAAATCATCAGACTGTAGGATGCTTAATGTTAATCATTCCAGCACCCAAACAAGCTGTTTTGACAACACCATCTCCACTGTGTGTCCCTGTAGAGTTCTGTCTTCCCTTTCACTTGCCTTCTGCCCAGAGAATTTACGGGCGCCCCATCCCTGCAGGTGCCCAAGGGCAGGTTGGATGGGGCCCTGGGCAGCCAGATTGGTGCCTGATTAAGTGCTTTGGCAACCCTGCCCACAGCAAGGGTCAGAACTGGACGATCTTAGAGGTCCCTTCCTCCTCCAGCCAGTCTATGATGCTGTGATTCGCTGTCCTGAACTTTCCCTTTCCTCTCCAACAGCCCCAGCACTGAGAGAGAACCACTTGCCAAAAATAGCAGCTGTGCATGGCAAATATAATATCTGCAGAACGTAGTATCTGCTCAAACAAGTGGACGTGGTGATTGATGAGATGAGAAAGGCTTTGGCTTCAGCCCTGCCCCAGAGAGCAGAGCAGCAGCTGGGACCAAGAGGTCTCCGCATGCTCTCACATCAATCAGCTCCTTTTTATTTTGAAGCAAGTTTAGACAGAGGATATATAAATAATAGTATCTGGCTGAGCTCCATGGGTTTTTTTAATACATTCCTGTCATCTCCTCCCCAAAGCCCTTGGGGAGCTGGAAACGATCAGGGCAGACCTGAGAGGACCTTGCTGAGGAGAGCTTGGATGGAGGAGAGGTCATCCTGGGCTGGAGGCCACTCTGCTCTGCAGATCAACCCTTTGGCCTCTGCCTGCCTGCCTGTACCTCCAGCTGGAAGTTCAGGCACAGAGGTGGAAGCCTGCATCACTGCACAGTGCTAAATCACTGCCAACAGGTTTGTCATGGGACAGTGGCTAAACTAATGGGAAGGGCAGGAGGATCTGAGCCGGCATTTGACACGGTTGTTGGCTTTCATCTCCTGTACATGAAGGCTACCAAGGAAGCATCCCTGATGAATTTGCATTTCAAAGCTCATTTCAGCTGAGAAGCATGGGGGCTGCCGTGTGATGTGAACAGGAGAACATCTGCTGTTGGGTCAGCCTTTTGAAGTAGGCTAGAAGACACATGGAGCAGCTGAGCAGTACAGTTCCAAAGGGAATGGGGGAAAAAGCATAGGGATGATAAGCTGTATTAAATCCTTCATGAAGGTGGGTAGGCACAGGCTGCTCAGAGAAGCTGTGGGTGTCCCATCCCAGGTTGGATGGAACTTTGGGCAAATTGATGTAGGCAGAAATGTCCCTTCCTATGGCAGGGGGTTGGAACAAGTTGATCTTTAAAGGTCTCTTCCAACTCAAACCATTTTCTGGTTTCTATATCTTTAGAACTATCACAGGATAGATCTCTGCTAGATCAGGTTGCCCATCAGTGCTCAGAGCCCTTCCAGCCTGACCTTGTCTGTCTGCAAGGATGGGGCACCCACAGCTCTCTGGGCAGTCTGTGCCAGTGCCTCGCTGCTCTTGTTGTAGTAAACTTCTTCCTTATATCCAGTCTAAATCCCCTCTCTTTTAGTTTGAAACCATTTCTCCTTGTCCTATCTCACAGACCCTGCTGAAGAGTCTGTTCCTTTCCTTCTCACAGCCCCTTTAGACACTGAAAGGCCAATCCCAGGTCTCCCCAGAGCTTTCTCCTCTCCATACTGAACAGCCCCAACTGGGGTTATGGGTAATTCCTTACCAGACAGGGCTGAAGGGAGAAGGTCACAATGCTCTGCATAGCATATGTACACTCTCACTGCTGCCTAGCATTGCTTTGATGAATGCTAGGTGCCTGTCACTAGCTCATGCTGATGCTGTTCTGGCTTAGAGAGAACTGGGAGTAGGAAGGGATATTCCTATGCTGTGTAGGAAGAGCAGCAAGGTGTAGACAACAGGAGGAGGAGGACAATAAAATTTGGGCAGAAGAGCATCAAGTTCACAACATTGTAGAAGAAAAATAATCTGTGAGATAAAAATGGAAACTCAGTGCCAAGGTTTTCCGTGTCGGATGCTTCGTTGATAAGTGAGTAAGGGTTGAGGACAGACTGTCCTGCTGGATCCTGGACAAATGAGAAGCCGTGTGTCCAGCCCCGCAAGGGATGCAGAATGAGACATGCCACTGTGTGCATCTCCCTGCGGCAGCCTGTCAAAAGGAATCTCCATCTGGCTGACCAGAACTGCACCTCCTGGGCACGGGTACAGCGGGGGGATTTCTCCTCTGTTACTCACATCATGCACACACGCTCTGCAGACCGCAGAGCTCCATTTCCCTGGGAGCCATTGCTAATCCAGCACTGAATAGGAAAAGAATGCCAGAACCTAGCAAGTTGCAGCCACTGCTTTTTCTTCCCGAGCACCCAAGGGAACATGCTATATATGATCCTTCCTCTTGCTTTTGCAAACCCCTGCTGTAAACCAGGCTTGAGCTCCCCTTTCCTGCTGCCTGCCATGCTCACAAGCCCTGACCCAAGGGCACACTGCTCTGGGAGATGTCTCTTGCAATGAGCTGGGACAAGTCTCCCGCTGCATGAAGAGGGTTGGCTGGCTGATCCCACGGTTTCAATCTGATTTGCTTCTCCCGTTAGCAAGGGCAAGTCAGGTATTGTTGTGTTGACCTATTTGTCTGGGGCTGCCAAGGAAGTTGGGCTGTGCTGTATCCTAATGTGGCACTGTACCCCAGTGTGGCACTGGAGCCCCACTCAGCTCCCTGAAATCAGCGTCACAGCCTCCTTCCAAAAGAAGCCAAATGTCCACATAGTGAAGGAGGTGTGACAGACGTGGCAGGCAGCAGCAGCCCACCTGCTAGCACTGCAAGCCACAGGGGAATCCACGAGCACAGCTGGTGCTCAGCCCATGCCCTGAAGCATAGATTGGAATTTGTGGCTGGCTGATGTTCACCTGGGCAGTCACAGGGAAACCAGGCTGATACAGCTCTGTACTTCTCTTGGCACTCAGTGCAGATTAGCTGGCAGCTTTACTGTAGATGTTGCTTTCTTACTGTGAAATTTTGGTCAGATAAGGCACGAGTTCCTATCAGGAACTAAGTGTTTTTCACTAGGTGCCAAAGAACTACCAAAATTACTTCCCATCATAGACACAGGGAAGATTCTGATGTTTCATTGATTGCTCTATGAGGCTAATTGATTAATAGAACCAGATATTCTTGTAATGCTATTGGATGAAGTAATTGGGCTGAAACTCGATTTGGCATTCACAGCACTCAGCTGAAGAGGGAACAGTGTGTGTAATTCCAAAACACAGACAAAAGGCAACTTCACTGCCTTTTGTAACCAACACATTTTTGTTGCAGCCTCTGTCCAAAAAGGAGAAAAATGGACAACTTTAGCATTATTGAAGGAAGAACAAGGGCTTGAGTTTAAAGACAGAGCTGTAACATCAATGTGAACATCCTGTCCTCTCTCACTGCCCATTCTCCAGGCACCTCTGTCTCTTTTGTGTATTTTTCCCTTCGTGTTCCAGATTTGGACTAAAGAAATGTTCCCTCTTGGCCATACCCAGATACACGATCGTTTCCTACTGCCTGCAAGCCATGATCTCAACGAGATACTGCTGCTATAATTACATATCGCTTTTTCTGCCTTGGACAGCCAGCCTGTTCAGAATTGCCACCTAATTCTCAGCCAAAACTGTTGTCATCCCAGCCGAAAATCCAGAAAATAAACTGCATATTATTCAAAATAATAATATAATTCTATCCTGATGCGTTAATATGCAAATCCTGACCTGCTAAGGAAGTCAGCTCGTTCCTTATGGCGGTAAATCACTTCACCGCCCACACTGACTTCTTCCCAACCTCAATTCACTCGTTTTACTCTTAAATAGAAACAAATTAATGAATCTACACTGTGAACTTCCCTGCTTTGTTTATAATTCCTCAGCACGAATGCGCCGGTGAAGCAGAGTAACGCATTCTGAACAGAACTGATATGATTGATCTATTGAATGGAGTGAGGCGCGCTGATTATATGTTTGCATAATGCTTCTTGATGTGAAACTTTCACGTTTGCACTGGGAACTATAAATTAGAGCCAGCCAAGTGCTACCATGCATGGTTTCTTCATAAGGACTGCGACGGAGCACAGAGTTCAAGGTTATTTAACTGCACATTGGATTTCCTACTGCAATTGATGGTAGCAATCAGTCAGATTCACCAGATGGCTCTGAGAATTTCAGCTCTGCAGGCCTGGATTAGAATATTCTGCAAGGGACATGGTCAGTGGGCACGGTGGCAATGGGTTGGGCCTGATGATCTTAAAGGCCTTTTCCAACCTGAACGATTCTATGAATGGAAAGAATGGGACGCTATGGTGCCATAACCCCCTGCTCAATGACCTTTTGCAAATGTGAAGATAAAATATTAATACCCCTGCAGTGGAGTGTTGATGAGTGGTGGCAATGAAGCCCGGCCCGTGAATCACTGTTACCACTTCCTCAGGGTAAGAGGTACCCAAGGGACCACTCTCTTGCCATGCAGTGTGTGTACCTTAGTTTGCCCTACCTACACACAGTGCCTAGGGGAAAAAAGGTGGTACAAGTTGATCTCTACTCACATTTATGGGACAAAAGGACATCAAAAGAATCTGCCCATCTCGTTGCTTCTTCTGTTGACAGTCTTCTGGAAGAAAGAAGAGGCAGATTACAGACAACCCATGGCTGTTTGACAAGCACACCAAGGAAGGCTGGAATTCTTCTCACCAAACTTTGGAGGTCTACAATGAAAACGTCTCCAAGTGTGCAAGTCCCCCTGGTTCCCTGCAAAGTCAGTGGGGAGATGCCAAGGGACTCTCATGGGTCTCTTCACCTCGTCCTCAGATAGACAGGTAAAGCAAGGCAGATGAATCACACCCAGAAAGGGACCAATTTTTCCTTACCGACTCAAAGCAAAGAGCAGGGAACAAGTTCAGATGCAGACATTTACATTGTAAATGTCAAAAGTTAAGTGAAACGAAACCCACCCCTGCAGAAGTGTTTATTTCTCTCTCCTGACTGCAAGGAGAAGGTGAGCTCAGGCGTGGGATCAGATGGATTCCATCCCACTCGCCTTAAATCAGGACTCCGTATTGTTTGAGGCATCTGCTTTAGTGCTGTGCAAACTAACACAGGACATTTAGGCAGTGTTCAATAACACTCAGCTAAGGAGGACTGTGACCTGGAATTGCTGCTCACCTCTTCGACAAAGCCAACTGCTCAGACTTTGATTTGCTATGACAGAGGGATATATTACCCCCATCCTTGGAGGTGTCCAAAGATGGGTTGGATGGGGCTGGGCAGCCTACAGCATACAACAAAAGGAAGGCAGTTCAAGAGGAGTGGTGGGCAGGGAGGGGAGGACAGAGGTGGGATGGGGTGGGGATGCTGCAGCTATACTCACTTCAAAGCCCGGTTGGGCTTGTCCGGAAGAATAGCTGTGAAATCATTATATGAGTCTGATTTGTGAGACAGGCAGCCCAGGCGAGTCCTCATCCCTCTGTTCCTGTGGTCGATGTGAGGGAGCAGGGGGGTGAGCAGGGGAAAACCAAAGAAGAGGATTATAACTCTAGCCGGAGCTAACAAAACAAAACCCCAAAGATGACACAGCTCAGCGGCTCTGTGCCATGTCAGATCTGCATCCCTCGTCCCTCACCTTCTGGAGGGACCCTGAAGCATCTCCAGGAGGATGCTAAGGATGGATACAGCATGGATACTGGCTTGCCCAATGCCAACCAGTTGTTCTACTGGTCCAGCTAGCAGAAAGGCTGTGTACTAGGTGGTGTCCTGGAAGGGCCTGCCCTCAGCAGAGCAGGAGGGCAGCTACACCTGCAATCAGCTGCATCAGAACAGGGTGGTGCCTATGCTGTAGGGCAGGAAGGGGTTGGAGGGCAGGAAGGAGCAAGGCACCTGTGATGTGAGCTGTGCTGCAGAGCCAGGGGAGCCCGGCCCGCTTCTTTAGACTCAGCATTACATAAGCAGGCTAAAGCTTCCTCTTCCATGGCAGGTTTATCCATGCAGAAAAGGACCTTACTGCTTTTCCCTTTGAATTTCAGAGCAGTTCCAGTGCTTTGCTCCCACACAGGCTCCTCAGCTCCCTGCCAACTCCTTCCCAGCACAACTGATGAGAACAGCATCACTGGGATGGAGAGAGCTTGGAAAGGAAGGGAACACAAAGGAAGAGGGAGATGGAACATACATGCATGGCACTGGACTGGCATCATTTCCCCTCAGAAACAGATGCTGACTGATGGTTGGACAGTGTCTAGAAGGGCAGAGCCTGAGCTCCCCCCAGCCTAAGAGCACCCCTCGTGGGTCACTCCTGAGCATGGGAGGGCCATGGCATGCACTTCTCAGCTGCTAGACTCCCTCTGGAAGCTCCCTCTGAGCCCTGCTGCTGCGCAGATGCCAAACAATCCCTGAGACTGCAGAGGGAAGCACAGCGTTTCTCCCTTCCCTATGCAGAACACTTCAGCACTGAGCTAATCTGTAGCACGCCTGTACCCTTTCTCCTCCCGCCCTGCAGAGAGTTTCTATTATTGCACATTTTCATGTAATCTTACAGCAAATTAAATGTTAATTAAATGCAACGAGTGTCTCCCTGGCAGAGCACAGGCAGCTCCAAGCACAGAACCTGGGGATCTTCAGTGGCAAGAATAGCTCTAAAACCCGAACCTGTGACCAGCAGTCTCAGGATGTTGCCCTACATCCACCCCCCACAGCAAAGCAGACACCCTGCGTGCAGAGAACTGCATCCCCAGCTGAGCCTGCTGTGCTCAGACTGACACTGAGTGGCTATAGGATCCCACTGGTACCTTTCCCATATGCCACCTTCCCCCAGCCCTTATTCTCCTCAGCCGTGCCCTGATGAAGCTCACGGCTTCCTCAGAAAGAGATGTGGCATGCACTGGTGCACTGCTGCTCAGATTTCTCTCCAATGCCTGAGATGAAGAGGCTGCAGCAGGGAATGGCAGCAAGGAGGCTGCGGTGCTGCACTGTGAGCACAGAGCTCAGCTCGTGGAACACAGGCCGTGATTCCAGAACAGGACGTGGGGGAAAGAACATGGGTTGGTAGGAGGTTGGGAGGCAGGGGAAGGGCAGGAAGGAGCCATGAGGCTCACAGGATGAGGCAGACAGCAACAGGATAGACAAGGGATGTGGCATCCGTGCAGTTACCTCCGTGGGATCAATAACGCAGCCATTCAGGACTCCAGTTATGGCCAATCCTCTATCTGGTTGGCTTGGAGGGTGGTTTGCAGGAAACAGGAGTGTAGGAAGGAGGGATTCACAGTTTCACGCCCTGGCACTTAAAAATATAACAAAGAATCCTCTGCCAGAAAAGGAGGGCCCGTTGCTCTCAACCCATTTGATCCTCGTCAGTTTTCCAACCGAAGACTCTTGGAGTTGAAGGATGATCACAGAGAAAAGACAGCATTTCCTCCTGGGAGCAGAGCCATGGGGTAAGTCCAGCTGCAGGTTCGAGCTTGGTGTCACGGCTCAGCATGGAGCAGCAGGGCTCAGCACAGCTGCATTCATCATGCAGTGCCTCCGAAGGTCGGTCCTCAACAGGCAAAGCTCCGGGGTGACCTCACTAAGAGGACTGAACTACCTCTTGTCCCCGTTCCTGCGAGTCATGGCTGGCATTACTGGCCATCGTGGTGCTGCAAACAGAAGAACGGGAGGACTTCATGCGTCTGTGGATCTCTCCTTCCACCATCACAAGGCTCGAGCACTCACACAGATGAACTCAAAGAAAGCATCTCCTCATCTGGGTGGTGGGAGCTCATGGGAAGCCGTAGGGAGGGATGAATGGACTGACGGGGTGGCAGGGTTCCCTGAGCACGGGCACACAGACGCTGCTGGAACAGATCTCCCAGCAGGGAGTGAAGGCAGTATCCACTAAGCTGGTGGGACAGAGCAGGATGGAGCCGCCTGCGTAGTGAGCAAAGTGCAAAGGTTTCCTGTTTGCCAGGACAAGGCTGAGCTCCAGATAACCTCCAGGTCCCCCTAACCAGAGGGGATGGCTGAGGAGGAGAGCAAGGAGCTGATGGGAGCAGCAGCTGCATGCAAAGGGCCAGGAGCTCGCTCTGCCAGGGCCGGGGGAGATCCCAAAGCTCAGGCTGCCCAATGCAGCATCCCTTTTAAAACCTGATTACATTAAAAATGCACAAAGCCTCTTCCCAACTAAATTAATGGAACTGGGATTGCACTATACACCAGTGAGTGCATTTTCTTAATCCCTGCCCTGACCGGCTGCTTCGATGCGCTTTAACTGAAATCAATCCTTGTAATACCTTAAGCCCCTTCAAAATTTCCTCATTAACAGTTTCACCCGCATGTGGGGCCAAGCAGAGGATTTCCCAGAGCCCAGCAGCCCCTTCTCTCTCTGACAGCTGGGATGGGTGCCTGCGTGGTGCCCTCTCTTGCAGTCTCCCCTTGCTGCATGCTTTTGGAGGTGCTGTTACAAAACAGCTCGCTGCTCACCCCTGCTCCCACCCACAAAAACTGCACAACAGAGAGGCACCCAACTTGCCCAAGGTCCCAAAGTCTGTCTGACTTTAGGACATCAAGTCCCACAGCCAGGCTGGAGCATCTGTGGGTATGCCCTTGGCTCGCCAGCGAAGTCAGTCAATCGGTTTAGAAACAGAATGCAGTGAAGGCATCCCAGAAAGAGTCTGTGGTGAGGATTATCTCTTCACCCTCCATCCCTCGTCCTCCTCCACCTCCCTCCTACGGCAGGACCCCATCCAGGAGAACTGACAGACTCATCATGGATGCGTTTTGGGGTTTCTCCTTGGGAGACAAAGGGAGGGGGAGCAGTTACGACATCAGGATTATCGACCCCCCTCCATCCCAGGAGATCACCTGAGCAAAGATAAGGGAGCCATCCCAATCAGCAGCACAAAGGGGAAGAGGAAAACAAACCAAACAAACACCAGACCCGGGGGGGGGGGGGGGGGCTTCAGGAGACTAAGAACCCACAGAGCCGAGTAGATAAACCGAGCAGGGAGGCACTGCTGACAGGCACACAGCGCGATACTCACCGCGGTTGACCTGTGTTCTCCACCCGCGCGTGCTCGGAAAGGCTCTGGAGACACAGCAGAGAGCTCCCTTCGCATCCAACCCCTCGCAATGCCCTTCGAACCCTTTCTTTCCCCGCACCCCACCCGGAGCCCCGCGCTTCAGCCCCGCACAGCCTCACCCGGCGCTCCGCAACGCGGCGGCTGCACCGCGATGGGCGGCGATGCAGCGGTGCCCACCTGACCCGCACGTCCCTCCGCATCCCTCCTCGCCTTCTCACCTGCTGGGAGAATCCCCCCGCCCCGCTACAGATGCCGGGGGGAGGAGGGATGTCTGCGAGAGCTGTCGCTGCTGTCACCCTCCCCGCTTTGGAAGGGAGCGTCCCTCCCGCATCGCTTTGATCAGCTCCTCTGAGGCTTAGGGGAGGATGCTGCCCTCGGATCGTCGGCAGTCGCGCAGACAGAAGGGAGTGGGGAGTTTAATTAGAGAGCCTCTGTGTCAGAGGGGTCAAGGGAAATCGTTAACCTTACTGCACAGCATGGGAAAGGGAAGAAACCAACTCACCTGGCAGCTTAGGTTGCGACCAGCCCTTGCTCTCCTCTGCTGTGTGCCCCCTGCCCTGGAACCAACCTTGGCTTGCTCACAGCACAGCCTCCCAGCCCTCTCCTGCACCCACCCCTCCACCTTCAGACAACAGAGTGTGTATCCAGGGCTTCTGCTGGAACCTATCCCTGCACCCCACTAATAGGATCTTGCCCCCCAGCAGTGAGACCTCAGGCCTGGGCTTGGCTCAGCTGCCAGAAGCACTGCCCCTGGATGCCAATGCAGATGTTCAGAGTGGTAGAGGATGTCCCGTCCCTGCAGACGGCCAAGATCAGGTTGGATGGCCTCTGAGCACTGGTGGAGCTGTGGGTGTCCCTGCTCAGTGCAGGGGGTTGGACCAGATGACCTTTAAGGATCCCTTTCAACTCAAATAATTCAGTGATTCTATGACCTGCTCACTCACTTCTTAAGGCATCAGAAACAAACAAACACCACAAATCCCAAGCAGTTAAATCAGTCGTTATTTTTCTCTCATTGCCTTTTCTCAGCTAACAAAGCACTGGGCTGACATCCCTGTGCTACTAGCAAGCAGCATGCCTTGAGATAGCACATCATCACCAGGCAACATCCCTGGGGAGGGAGCATCCCGCAGAACTTACTATGAAAACACAGGGATTAGCAGCAGTGCAGGCCTGATCCCACTGCTCCAGCCTGGATTCCCTCCTTCACAGCTCATCTTGGTAAGGAAATATTTTCCTTGCTGTTATCCTCCCCTTGCAAAGCCCAGGTCATCCTGACTTGGATTTGTCACATCTCCGGTGATGAGGAGACAAGTGCTGAAAAATACCCTAAAAAAATGCAGTGGTTGATACAATCTCCTCTCAGCCAAGGTTAAAGGTTGAGGTTCATCTGATGCCTCTGGTTTGTTCCAGTTAAATAGCA